AGCATTTGGAAAATATTTTATGATTTGCATTGCACCAGAAGGACCTTAAGAAAAGCCCTGTTCACCAACTGATTAGAAGGAGAAGAGATAGTAAAGTGATGCCAACTGAAAACAGTTGAAGGTTTATATGAGAAATGCTGCAGTAAATGGAGCCAAACAAACAAAAAAATCTGAATAAAAGCAGCCTTTCACCATCATCAGGATGAATGCTGAATAAACAGATCATCTTAGTTGTTTGTCTCTACTCAGGTTGCCATTTCAAAAAGTAAAAATCAGGAAAGTGCATGTGCTAAATGAAGGTATATTGTGAAGCTATTCAAACCAAAACAGCAAGATACATCCAGCAGATGGCAATCTTACCCAATCAGAAGCATTTTTGCCATGAAGAAGGCAGCAATACTTCAAAGCCAACTACCTTTATGCCATGCTTATTCCGTATGCATAATATGGATCTATTTTAATACCACACAATCCATTCTGCCTGGTACTATAAAGGCCGGCTTGTCTTATGAGCCGCAGGCTCCACTGATTTGTACATTGCTTTTGCCCTGCTCCATTACATTGCAAGGCTGGTCAACACGGACTGAAATAATGCCCCTGAAACAGAATAGACCGTCCAAAGTTAGCAACAACAACAAAATGTGACAGTAATCCATGATGGGGGTAGATTTACTAGCAGGATAAGGAAGGGCCAAACCAGATGTGACGGTGGCATCTAGTTAGTGTGCTTAAACCTGGATCTACTACAGTCATGGATGCAGGTGGCACTGTGGGTTAAACCACAGAGCCTAGGACTTGCCGATCAGAAGGTCGGCGGTTCGAAGCCCCGCGACGGGGTGAGCTCCCGTTGCTCGGTCCCTGCTCCTGCCAACCTAGCAATTTGAAAGCACGTCAAAGTGCACGTAGATAAATAGGTACCCCTCTGGTGGGAAGGTAAACGACGTTTCCATGCACTGCTCTGGTTCGCCAGAAGCGGCTTAGTCATGCTGGCCACATGTCCCGCAAGCTGTACGCCGGCTCCCTTGGCCAGTAAAGTGAGATGAGTGCCACAACCCCAGAGTCGGTCACGACTGGACCTAATGGTCAGGGGTCCCTTTAACTTTACTACAGTCATATAGTAAGCAGAGGCAGACTCTAATTTAAGGAACAAGAAAGTGATGGGTAACAGGAATGAGGAAGTGCAAGTAAGGAGAAAGTGAAGTGCGTGTGCACTTGTTTGCTTTCTATCTCTCTGGGCAGCTAATCTCGAGGAGTGGGGAGAAGAGTGATCAGAGGCAGTGGCACCCACAGCAGTCACTCAAATCCAGAGGTGCCTGTGAGCCTAAAAAAAGGTTTGCATGTACATGGGGAAGTATAAATAGCAAGTTGGAGGGGGGGAGAGAGTCTGATTGATACCACAGCAGGGCCAAAGGACTAACATGCCCAGTTTTTTCCTAAGCCAGTGCCCTGATCTATCTCAGTACTGCCCATCCCAAGGCTGTTGCAGAATATTTGTTGAAGAAAACTACATAAAGGCTGGCTACATGAAAAAGATCACATCAGTTTGGGCCTCAAGGCTTTTGTGCAAAGTATGCCTCCATGAGCAGTTGTGGAGGAGGGTGACCAAAACTGTTAAGCAGCTGTAAATAAACCCGAGGCCCCAATGAGAGATGAAACCATGAGGGGGCTCAACAGTCCTTGAGACAAGTTGAAGGGAGACAACACTGCTACGGACATCACCATACCTGGCCATTACAGATGAATAGACCCACAGCTGTAAGGAATATATGAGCCTTCCCTAGCGCTGTGGGCAAAACCCTCAGGCACCAGTGAAAGAAATACTTGTACTGTTTGTTGATTGTCATTCTCTACACCTTTCCTCATTCTTGTTTGTTAGCTACAGCCGTTCCCTTGATTTTTGCTTTGCTACAAATACTTTTGCACGTAAACATTTGGAAATGTCATTCTTCTAATGCCAACGTTTGAGGAAACCCTGAAGGCAAGAATTGAAGTGGCACACCATCTCCCAGGATATGGTGGGAGAGGACACTGCTCTCACAACACACACACTTTTGTTTGTTTGTCTACTTTGGCTTTTCATTGTGCAGTTAACTCGCAACTTATGTGCATTTCACATGCGTGATCTCAACTGCTGAAGGCCAGCCGGTTGAAAGTGCACAAGCCAAATGCACAAAAGGCAGACAGCTTAAAAGCTCTTTTGTGCAGGGGTTTCCCAGCACAGGAGGAGCTTTTCAGCTCTCTGCTTTGCTTAAAAGCTGTTTGCCTTGCTTGTTGGAGTAAGGTCCATTTGGTGCACTGACTTTGGAAGGTAAGATTGCTCGCACGGGGTGGTTCCAAGGGGGTGGTGCAAGCATACACATTTTGCATATACACACAACCCCAGAACATAAAGGTAAAGGTAAAGGGACCCCTGACCATTAGGTCCAGTCACAGACGACTCTGGGGTCGCAGTACTCATCTTGCTTTACTGGCCGAGGGAGCCGGCATACAGTTTCCGGGTCATGTGGCCAGCAAGACTAAGCTGCTTCTGGCGAACCAGAGCACTGCACAGAAATGCAGTTTACCTTCCCGCTGGAGCGGTACCTATTTACAGTGGTGCCTCGGGTTAAGTACTTAATTCGTTCCATCACTATTGCCCAGAATTAAAGTATAGTCCCATCTTTAAACTGATTTACAGTGGTACCTCAGGTTAAGTATTTATTTCATTCTGGAGGTCTGTTCTTAACCTGAAACTGTTCTTAACCTGAAGCACCACTTTAGCTAATGGGGCCTCCTGCTGCCGCCGCGCCGCCGGAGCACAATTTCTGTTCTTATCCTGAAGCAAAGTTCTTAACCTGAGGTACTATTTCTGGGTTAGCTGAAGCGTATGTAACCCGAGGTACCACCATATCTACTTGCACTGGCATGCTTTTGAACTGCTAGGTTGGCAGGAGCAGGGACCGAGCAATGGGAGCTCACCCCGTGGCAGGCATTTGAACCGCTGACCTTCTGATTGGCAAGCCCTAGGCTCTGTGGTTTAGACCACAGCACCACCCGTGTCCCTATCCCCAGAACATAACCCCTGCATAAGATGTGGGTTACCTGTAGCTTGAGATGTATGGGGTTTTAAGGGGAGGGGTAGCCACCTGCTCCTTCTGGGGTAGTTTGTCCACCTTTGGTCCCCACCCTGCACTCAGCTCTCAACTGTGGCTTCTAGAAGCTGTCAGCATGCGACAGTGGCCACACCCCAGGAAACAGCCAGGCTGTCATGCGGTTAATTACCACTGGATTTCTCCGTCTTCCATCTGTACTTTGTGTGTTCAAGGGGAATTCACTAAGATGGAATGGAGAATCAGAGATTCTTGGTCTGTGCTGCAAGGGGCAATCACTGCCTCGTGGCACTAGCTTTACTATGCAGCCTACTAAAGGGGTTTGTGGATGTAGAAAAATATATTTCTAGCTTTCAGCCTGCAGCAGTGACCACAAACACAGAACTCAGCCACACCTGACCAAAGGAATATTCCACTCCAGCCAATGTTGTTTTTCATGGCCATGATTACTATGTTTTCTGGACCAAATATTTTCTTTCTGGTTTTCGCTTTTCTGACATGCATGTGTGTTTTTCCTTCCCACCCCCCTCTAAGGTAAGAAAGGAGCTCCATACCTTTGGGTAAATGACAGTTCTGCCTAAATAACCTTGGAGCAGAATCCTTCCCAATGTGGCCGCTGCTGCCACACTGACCAAGACACCAAGTGGGAGTGCCTGTTTCTGAATAAAACTGCAAGATTCTCGTTTACAAGTAAAAGAAGGAGAATGTCCTGATTGGCTGCTTGAAGGAAAGGGGGATTTTTAACATACTCAGAGATTATGGAAATATTCTTTTCCTCTTTCAACACACAAACATACACAATATTCTGGTACAGTTCTCGTGCTTGCGTTCCTCATTTATGTTACTAGAGGACAATCTGCTAATCCTGTGAATCCATTACTGTGGTAGTAAATGTATGCACAATGTATTTACTCCCTCAGGTTTACTGGAAGTGCAGATTACAGCCTGGAAAAGGGTGTGGTCTCTTCTCAGGTACACATATACACCTGCAAGCTATCTTACGTTTATCTGTGTTAAACCTTCAGCATACATAGATTGTAGCCAACTGTGGGTGGCCCTGAGATAATGCTTCAGGTTATAGCCAAGAGAAGAGTCTCTGAAAAACAAAACTAGGGAATGCACTAAATGGTTCAAATGCATGCCAATTTCAAAACAGAACAAACTCTCAGGCAACTGGTGAATTTTACAGCCAGAAGCATGGTGGAAGCCTCAAATATAGGCAAGGCAGTTCGCAACATAAAAATGTGAATACAAAATACAACCAGGGTTTTTTGTTTTTTACTGTGTAAGTTTTATACTCCATTCTACTGAGTTGCTACTGAGCAAAATCAAACCTCAATTGCAATCCGATGAATATTGGTGCGCTGGCCAGTTTTGGGCATGATGTGCACTATATGTTGATTGACTCACCAGATTAACATAGAGGACTAGAAAATTTCAGGGGGCGAAATTGTGTCCACCATCCCGGGGTTGTCCTCACTTTCGGTGTTTCTCCCAAGCACTGAAGGAAAGTGTGGTTTTATGGAAGTAGTGGGTACAAACTTCTGGGTCATATTTAAGCAACACATACATTGCACATCTTTCCATATCTTGTTATTGCTTATGCAAGACCTGCAAGTTTAAGGGCAAGGAGTCTTCATGTGAGATATCTGTGCTTGTTGGAACATGAGTGAATCTGTATGAGTCGTCTGTTTGCCCCCTTTTGAGCAGGTGGCTTTGCAGCTGGGCCCTGGACCTCCCTGGTCAACTGGCCTATCGCAGTCTAGATTGTATTCCTGCAGCCAATTGGGCCAATGGCTCTGAACAACCACAAGCAAGACGTGGCTAATAATGCACTCACAAAATATTTATAGCATTACACTGTTTCACAATTCATAAACAGAAGACATGAAATCACAAATAATAGGAGTCAAATAAACAGAAATGGTAGGTGTGATCAGTCACTATCAAAGAACACTAAGATGGAGGCAAAAATGCCTTTCCACAGGCAACATCCTGCAAATGTGTGGTGATAGGTGCTCCAAACATAGCAATATGGTACTCCGAGCACAGCAGCAGACAGAACAGTTCTTCCGGGATAATGAACTGTTTCAATGATAATTCTTCATCAGCTGGCAATAATATGAAATAAAATCCATTATATTCAAGTAATACAGAAATCGAAACGACAGACCTGCATATAAACAACCAATAATAAATACATACCAAATAAATTGTCCCTGCGGGTACATCAAATAGCCATGGATCAGCTATCACTTAAAAGTGTAGTAAGCCGATACTGTTGGCAGAATCCTAGTAGCATTATAAAGGCAACCCACAGGTGCACTGAATCACATACAATTTCAGGAAATTTAAAGATACAGTATCCAAAATCTAGGATAGAGAACACAAACAGTAGCCATCTTGTCTAAAAACTTAAATAAAACAATTAAAATCTAATTCAGTGTTCAAACCCCCCAGGTGCAGGGATTTAAATAGGTAAATCAATTTAGTTTCTTGTTGGTTAGTAGTAATTAGTAGTAATTTGACATGATCTCTCATCCCAAATTTTCTCTGATTAACCCACAGGACCGTGTAAAGTAGGTCTGTATCTGCATGATGGTGTTTTACAAAGTGCTCAACTAAAGGTGCCTCCATGACTTGATTCCTAATGTGGGATCACCGCTCGTGTGGTCAATCCAATGTAAAGCAGATTGCAAGGGCATCTTATTAGGTATCCCTAATACCATCTTTGGTCTGACACGTACTGAAATGACGGGTAGTAAATCTAAAGCTAAAGTGATCATCATAGATCTCTTTCGTCTGTAAAACAAGAGGACAAGATACACATCTACCCCATTTATGATGACTCAACGGGCTGGAACTAGTGGGAGAACGTGTCAATGTAAGGTCAGAATGGACCAATATGCCTTTAATTGACCGAGTTTTTCTAAGGCCAATAAGTAGAAAATCAGAACAGCCTTGGACATTCCACAAGATATGCCAGTGTTTTCTTATGATCCTAATGATCCTATCTGAATACGTGGTAAATTCTAAGGATCCCGTGATCCGTGTATTGGACGATGTTTGTGGCGTAAGGGAAAAATGTGATGAGCAATCCTTAGCTAAGGATCTTTTTTCACCAAATTAATCACTCGGTTAGGATATCCTCTGGAAAGTAAAGAATTGGACAGGGCATCAGCTCTACTTAAAAAAATCATTCTGTAATGAGGAATTCCTCTTAATTCTCAATAGTTGGCCGTACGGTAAGTTATCCTTAAGATGCCTGGGATGGAAGGAGGAATAATGCAATAAAGAATTACAATCAGTGGGTTTTCTGAAAGGTTTCACAAGTAAGTATCCATCCTGTTTTACCACCTCAACATCTAGAAATGTAGAGGAAATGGTACTATGATGTCCTGAAAAAGAGAGTTGGGTGTATTTTTTCCTCATCTTCCTCTGAGCTGTGACCTCCCTCAAACCCTTGTTGTAATTCTGAACTGTCTTCTTCTTCTCTGGAAGGGTCAGGCTGGGGAGGTGGTCTCCACCATTCCTCCTCTGCCCAGTGCCTGACATGTCCCTACCTAACCTTTCTAAGAGTAGTACAAATGGAACAGAACAGAATTCAGAAAACATAACAGAGCTAGGGCAAAATTTTCCAAATTCCTGATGGCCGGGTCACAGTTGTTTTTCTGGATTAATGTGGAAACATGTTTTACTTGTTCATACAAAAAAAAAGATGTGTCTTAAATGTCTTGATCAGCTCCTAGAACAACAAGCAGGCAATCTCCTTCAACTGCAGGTCAACCCAGCTAACATTGCCCTCTTACATTCAGTGGTACCTCAGGTTACATACGCTTCAGGTTACACACTCCTCTAACCCAGAAATAGTGCTTCAGGTTAAGAACTTTGCTTCAGGGTAAGAACAGAAATCAGGCTCTGGCAGTGCGGTGGCAGCAGGAGGCCCCATTAGCTAAAGTGGTGCTTCAGGTTAAGAACAGTTTAAGGTTAAGAACGGACCTCCAGAACGAATTAAATACTTAACCTGAAGTACCACTGTAAATCAGTTTAAAGATGGGGCTATACTTTAATTCTGGGCAATAGTGATGGATCTGAGCATCCAATACCTTCGCTCAATTCAAACACACACACAGTACAGTGTAAACAGGGTTTGGATTGCACCCTTACGTATTTAAATATACAACAAGAGTTTAATATCACCATTTCCTTCTGTAAATTGTCAGAGAAGTAGTAAGCCTTTGCAAGTCAAAACAATATAATATCTGCCTTTTGTAACACAATAAAACAATACGAGGCTCACCCACACAGCACTAAACTATGGATTAAGTTAATGTCAGAACATGGCATCTATTAATTACACTTCCTTGTGATGGAGTTGTAGAAAAATTACATCCCTCTGCATCATTGGGGCCTTTGCCATTTAATAGCATTAGAGCAACTTTTATTCAGCGTTCACTAGGCTTTATATAAGACCTATTAATCTTAGTCCTTTGAAGGTATCATTATTGCAAATATGACTCTTCTTTTTGTAAACCTAGCAAAGGGTTACGATTCTGACTCATTTGAACTAGCTCCAGGTTGTCAGTCTTCTGACAAAAAACTGTGATCTCATTTGTTAAGGAATTGCTGTGACACTCACATTTCCCATTTAATTGTTTTTAAAGCACGATTCAATCTACTGGAGCAAAGGACAAGCAAGATGTTTTTATTTGTGGCTTCCAAGAGTCTTCTTGGAACTGCTTTCCACATAATGAGGAAAGGAGAGTTACTCAAAGTGTAAAGAGGGAATGTGTAAAGAAAGAGTGTAAAGAGACACCCAGAGAGGAGCTCACACCTGTTTTGCTCTGCCACTTTCCTTTGAGCTCAGGGCAATGCTGAGGTGAGCCTGAGTGTGCCATCTGAACCTAGGATCACGGTTAAGTTCTATTCCTTAGCAATTATTAGTAACCAAGAACACACCTTGTTCAGTTAAGGAAAACAGTGCATAACCACTACCCCAGGTTTGAGTGGCATGCTAAACCAAACCTTGGTTTAACTGCCATCAGAGCCGGCCCACCGATGAGGCATGGTGAAGCACCTGCCTCAGGTGGCAGAAGTACAAGAGGTGGTGCCACCACTGTCGGAATGCCTGTCTCACCAGCAAAAGGGAGAGATTCCAACAAGCAGCAACACCTTGTGGAATGCCACAGCTCTTGCCGAGTTTGGTGAGAGGTGGTGTGCCTGAGCACAGCACCACCGCTCATCTTCTCCGGCCCGGTTTGGCAAGACGGGGGCATTGAGGGGGGGAGGACAGGGAGCAATACATTCACAATTTGCCTCAAGTGTCAAAACAGGATGGGACATCCCTGACTTCCATGCCACACTGAGCTAAAAGGACTGGGAACGAGCAAAGCAGCTGCAATCTCCTCCCTGTAAGCCAGCACATTCACTCTAAGTAAGCCATGGTCTTCACACAGCAGTATAGAAGTTGGCCCCACAGAAGGCAGCAATAGCCACCAACCTCTTCTTCTTTTTTTGTAAATGCTTTTTATTGGTTTTTCCTTTAATACAAACAAAATACAGTGAAATTTAACAGTCGTTTACCCACATTCTTTCCCCACACTCTGCTGAGCATTGACTTTCTTCCCTCCCTTCAACAGGCTTTCTTACTTCAATTACCACCAACTTCAATGGAGAACTGGGCAAATTCAGAGAAGATACAGCTACCAATGGCTGCTACTTGAGATGGCTATGCCTGCCCACAAGGTCGGAGGCAGTATGCTTTGGAATATCAGTTACTAAAAACCACAGGAGGGGACAATGCTCTTGACTCAGGTCATGCTGGCAGACTCTGGTTGGCCACAGTAAGAAGAGAATGCTGGACTAGATGAGACACTGGCCTGATCCAGGCAGCTCTTTTTAGGTTATTATGGTTTATCTTACAATTACATGGGAACAAAACCAATGTGTGGGATGATGGCAGACCTAGACCACATTGTTTTTTAACCAGCTATCAGTGTGAATTAGTACAGGTCCGTATAGTTAAAGCTATGGTTTTCCCAGCAGTGATGTATGGAAGTGAGAGCTGGACCATAAAGAAGGCTGATCGCCAAAGAATTGATGCTTTTGAATTATGGTGCTGGAGGAGACTCTTGAGAGTCCCATGGACTGCAAGAAGATCAAACCTCTGCATTCTGAAGGAAATCAGCCCTGAGTGCTCACTGGAAGGACAGATCGTGAAGCTGAGACTCCAATACTTTGGCCACCTCATGAGAAGAGAAGGCTCCCTGGAAAAGACCCTGATGTTGAGAAAGATTTGGGCACAAGGAGAAGGGGACGACAGAGGACGAGATAGTTGGACAGTGTTCTCGAAGCTACCAGCATGAGTTTGACCAAACTGTGGGAGGCAGTGGAAGACAAGAGTGCCTGGCGTGCTCTGGTCCATGGGGTCACGAAGAGTCGGACACGACTAAATGACTAAACAACAACTCAGAAGCAAGCTCCACCGTAGGACTGGCTCCCAAGTAAGCATATGTAGTGCTGCAGCCATATACCCCACCTTTCCTAAAAGTCTGAGGTTGTTCACATAACACACCTGATTGGCTCTGAGGACACTAGGAGGGTTGGTTTTTATGTATACAGGAAAGGACAGTTAACAGCAAGAATCAGGAGCTGTAACTGTTGAGACATCTAACAGCCTCCAACTGTCAAGTTCTAACCTTTTGTGATCCACAGTACATCAGCCTGCTGCACTGTCCCATCATCTGCAACATAAAAGATCGCCATGAAAACAAGTTCAAAAGTGAAAAAGCAGCCTCAGTTAAATCCTCAAAGAGATGTCCAGCATTATAACGTTTGCAGCACAGTGATCTTAACATAAAAAGGAGTGGCTGGTGAGTGTCCCTGGGTCACCTCCAGGTTCCTTAAATAGGTGCCATCTGGTTCTTCAGTTAACAAAGAAAGGGATGGGAGGTTTGTCACCACAGGCCTGCAAGTGCAAATGGGATAATACACACCTGTGTTTTCTAGGAAGTTCCATTCACCGTGACAGAATATGCAGACCATTCTTATGAAATTGAAGCACATGGTATCCTCACCCTGTGTAATTAAATGCTTTACTTTGGAGCATACAGCTGCTAAGAAGCTCCTCTTTCATGCCAGTTGAACAGTATCTCTTGGAGCAGTGGTGTAGCGTGGGTTGCCAGTGCCCAAGGCAAGACATGTATTGTACCCCATAACCTGTGACAGCACTGGTATGGCAATAGCAGTCCACTCACCTCCTTGATCAGTCCCTGCCACCCATTTCTCCCTTTCTACCTTCAGTTCAATGCAGGTCACAGCCACCGGCCCAAAAATAATAAAATAATAATAATATGAACACCCCATTCACGGGGTGAATGTGGCCCTTTCCAACCGCATTGGGAGCATGTTCCTTCCCTCAAAGAATTCTGGGCACTGCCGTTTGTTGACGGGAGGTGGGAATTCTAACTCTGCGAGGGATAAACTTCAAGGCCCAGAATTCTTTGAGGGAAAGAAAGGGTTTTAAAGGTGCTTTGAAGGCACAGTGTGTGGTGTGAAGGAGTTTGCAGTTCTCTTTCATACAGGTGTCTCCAAGGTGGTTGGTGGGAGTGGGCCTTTTTTCGAGGGTGAGGAGTGGGAGCAGCCTTTGGCCTACCAGCTATTGCTGGACTGGGACATGGGTGGCAGTGTGGTCTAAAGCACTGAGCCTCTTGGGCTTGCCAAAGGTCGATGGTTTGAGCTTCTGTTGCTGTCCCAGCTTCTGCCAACCTAGTAGTTTGAAAACACACCAGTGTCAGTAGATAAATAGGTACCGCTGTGGCGGGAAGGTAAACGGCATTTCCATGCACTCTGGTTTCTGTCACAGTGTTCTGTTGCACCAGAAGCAGTTTAGTCATGCTGGCCGCATGGCCCGGAAAGCTGTCTGTGGACAAAGGCCGGCTCCCTCGGCCTGAAAGCGAGAGGAGCGCTGCAACCCCATAGTCGTCTTTGACTGGACTTAACCGGCCAGGGGTCCTTTACCTTTACCTATTGCTGGACTACATCTCCCATCATCCCGCAGCACTGGCCTGGCTGGCGGGATTGAGAAGTCCGAGAACTCGTGGAGGGCCACAGGTGCCCCCCTTTTTTATTTTAAGGATGGCTGCTTGTTATTCCATTCATAGCGTAATGACCGGTGTGCTCGGAATTAACGCAGCGCAAGGTTCCTTCCCGGGCGGCTTTCTCCTGCCGAAGGAAGCTGGAAAGCGTCGCCCCCGCGCCCGTGTGCCAGACGCCGCCCAGACGCCGCGCTCCCTCGAAGCGAGGCGACGACCCTGCGGCCGGAGGCGAGCGCTGGGGATGCCCTCCTTCGGCATGGAGCAGAAGAGACTTTAGAGGTAGGCGGCGGCGGCGGGTCGAGGGAGGGATGCTCTCTTGTCTCCGGGCGCGGCGGGAATCCTGAGGGGAAGGAAGCTCGCCTCCGTCGCCATGCGCCACTGCGGTAACGGCCTCCTTCCCCCTCCTCCGAGCGCGGCGCTGCGTTTGCGCTTGTGTCCTCCCTGCTCGGAGCTCTTGCCACGCTGCCGTCGCTCTTTTTCCTCCTCGCTATGCAAAACGCAACAAGGACGGCCTGGGGACGAAGGAGCGAGCTGGCCCTTCCCTTTTCCCTTCCTTTCCTCCGGGCTGCGGCGGGGATGCGGCTTCCCTTCCCGAGCGAGGCGGTTGGAGGCTGGGCAGCCCCACGCCAGGAGCGCTGGGGATGGTCTTAATAGGATGATTATGGTTATTATCTGTCGTAACAATGCCAGCAAATACTCCTGGGGCATCTTTTTTTTTTAAGAACAGCAACAACAACTTTAACCACGCTTTTACCATGCCCTTAGTTGCTGTGGAGCCCAAAGGAACAGCTCGTGCCATAAGAGGGGCGTTAAGCCGTTTAAGGTGCTTAACTATTTTATTATAATAAAGGCGGGGGGGGGAGGAAGGAGCAGTCTTGGCAGCTTTTACTGCTGCCTTTGGGTGTTGCGGTTTGGCGCATCCAACAGCCTCCCCCCCCCCAAAAAAGGGGGGGAGAACCTGCTGAAAGCAAAATGAAAAGGCTTCTCTCCCCCCCCCCCTCTCTAAATGCCTGCAACCTTCCTGGTGTTTTTCCTTCTCCTGGTTTCGTAGACACACGTCTCTCTCCCTGCCACCTTACCCCTGCCGACGTGATGCCCTCCTTTAAATATCCCTGGCCATAGAGGAGGAAACAGCCCTTTCCCAATATATGAACTGAAGCTGCAGTACGGTGGAAGCATCAACAGTGGCTCCATGTGCTCAGGGTAACACCCACACACCCAACGGTATAGGTGGTGCATTTTTGTTGGTTGCGTTAGCTGTTGGGGTGGGTGGTGCTTGGCTCTCGGCCAGTAGTGGCAAAGGAGAATTCGCATGCTGAGAAGCTGCTCCCTAGGAAGGTGGACCAAGTCATGTGTGTGTGTTTGCACTGTCAGTTGCTTGTTCTGGAACTGGGTTGGCAGTCAAAGTGGGTGGATAGCAGCCAAGAGAGGAGGTGGAGAAATTCCTTACTCGGTTCTCTAATCTCTCTGTGCAGTGTAGAGTCCAGTCACTAAAGAAGTTTGGAGCATCCTTCGCCTAACCTTTGAAGCACTGTGGTGAGTTCGTTCTCTTTTTTTCTATTTCTATTATTATTACTATTAAGGAACATACCGTACTTTCTAGAAGAAAAGCACTGGTTAAAAGTGTGGCACGTACTATAACAACTTCATGGTGAGTACGGGCACCATTTTATCTAGAAGAAAAGCACTGGCAACACCCAACCACACACCCCAGATTATTCCAGGAATATATTGCATTAGACACAGTGAGATTTATGGTGCAAACCTATGTATGCTTACAAAGAAGTAACCATGTCATCACAGCCCTTGCGGAGCTGGGTGTGGCTTTCTCAGAAATAAGTAGTATCAGAGGGGATCCTAAGACAACACTCTTACCTGCAATTACCTGGGAATTAGTCCCGCTGAATCCAACAGGACTTACTTTTGAGTAGACGTGGTTAGGATTATGCTACAGGTCTGCTTATCTCTTCTGTGACCCAGTGCAGGGTCTTGTGGCAGCAACATCAAGCCAGCTTTGCCAGCCCGTCTGGTGAAGCATTCTAGAGAACTAGAAAACTTCCCCACATTGCTAGAGTCAGAGTGGCGTGGTGATCAGAGTGGTTCAGATCTCTGCTCAGATATGAGCAGATACGACCTTGGGTCACCCACAGTCTCTCAGCCTAACCTACTTTACAGGGTTGTTGTGAGGATAAAATGGGGAGGGGGGAACCAGATATGCCACCGTGAGCTCCTTGGGGAAAGGGTGAGATATAAATGCAATAAATAAATATTTTGTGACATTATCGTTGGTCTTCATAAAGGTATTGCCTGACTCTGGATTTAGGCATTTTTCCTGTGGACTGACTTCCAAATTAGGCACAGGATTGTACTGGTAAAGCACTATTTATGTATGGGCTGCATCCTTTTAAAAAAGTATTGTTGGTGAGGCAAGCACTCTCTTGCTTGGTCAAGCTTCAAAACACTGCTCTGGACATGAGCTTTTGACAGCTACAAAACTGTTCTTCGGGGATAAAGGTGGTGTGTTGTTCTTTAGAAAAAAACGTTCTTTTAAAATTGTTGTTGCATCTTGTGGGCTGGCACTGATGCCTTGATGTTATGTAGAACAAAAAGCTTCACGTAAGTTCTTAATTGCTTATAAACTACCCAGCCTTATGAGTTTCACAAAACCCAGGAACAAGGTAGTTGAAACATCTCTTCCCCAAGAAATGGGAGAGGACTTGTAAGGCTGCAATCCCACCAACCCTTTGCATTGGGCTAGAGTTGGGGGGAACCTCAGGTAAGCAGAATAAATGGTTGGACAACAGATGAGCCACTCAATCCAGGCTGGCCTTGCTTGCTTCAGGTTGGCCCAGTGATTTATCTGCTCCACTTTCTGCCCCACAGTTTTGTTAAACCTTGCCACTGCCTCTAGATGTCCAACCACATAATACCCCAGGACTTTTTTCCTGAGTCCATATAATGGAACAGTCTTGCTGAAGCTAAGAAGGTCTGGTTGGTTCCCATGTAGGGAGGACTATCTAAGAAACCCGAGGTATAACGCGCAGAAGAAAGGTTTGGTGTAAAATGTAATAAAGAGATTGTAAATTTCCATTCTTGCACATAACAGGATGGTAAAATGACGGAATTCTTGAACTGTGCCAATTCTTAATGCAAGAGGAGCTGTGTGTGTGTTTTAATGTGGCTGTAATTAGACCACTTCCCCAACTTGCCAGTGTTTACAAAGTTTTTTCCATAGAGGAACACTGAACATTGAACACAGTGAGACCCGCTAGGAGTGGAGACTAGACTCTCAGGGCAAATGGGACACTGCCCCACCGACCTCAGTCTGCCCTCAGCCTCCCCCAGCTACCTGCCATCTTTACTTACAGCCAGCCAGTCTCTCTCTGTCTCTGTCTCCACCTACTGCTTGCCTCTCTGCCCTCCCAGTTGCAATGTGCACCACCTACTACTGTTTCTAATCCAAGATGCACAGGAGTGCCCCATGAAATAGCACGGGCATGACACCGCAACTGTAATCACTCATAGAGTAAAGTTTGCTTTGCCTGAGTATACAGGAAACAGTATCATAGTGCCTTTATCAGAATGACCTAAAACCCATAAAGCGGAAAGCTAAATTTTGAGTTTTGCAGAACGCTTCTTCAAACTTGACGTGTGTTCATTTTTTGCTTTTGCTTTTTTTATGGGGGCATTTTAGAAGTCCTGTTTTGTTTAGGGGTGGAATATTCTGAAAACCTTGATATCAAGCTGATTTGCACAGATTCTCTCCCCTCCCACCCCAAAAAAATCTCACACCTTGGCCTCAACAAGAAGTGAGAAACTATTTCTGTTTGTCTCTATGGTGGGGACCTTAGCATCTGACTTGAATTCTCCTAAGCCACTATCATTTTGACTGCAATTTGCACTTCATGTCTTTATCCTCTGCATGACATTATAGAATTGCAGAGTTGGAAGGGACCCTGAGGTTCATCTAGTCCAGCCCCCTGCATTGCAGGAATATGCAGCTGTCCCATACGGGGGTCAGATCTGCAGCCTTGTCGATATGAGCACCGTGAATGGATTTTTTTAATTATCATGTTTTTATTCTTTGTCTGTTTTGTTTGAATGAGTTTCTGCCCATATAATGAATGATGGATTGAGTCATCTTGAGCCAATGGCAGCCCAGGAGCCACATTGAGGGCAGATAGAGAAAGGATGAGATTGCAAAGAAGACGCATGGGGAAGCATTCCAAATGGGTGCTAATTTGGATAAAATATGGGGGGGGGACAAGGTAAGCCCCATCCTGCATAATCAGTCACAGGATGTGGCTCTCACACACACCATCTGAATGGCAATGCCCATCAACTTGGAGGGGATAGCCCCCCCAAATATTTTATTGGGAGTTGGCTGCTATGAGTCCAAAGATGCTCACATGCTTTTTTTTTCTTGACTGTGGACCACTCTGAGGCATCACACATGTGACCTCTCCAGTATTAAAGGCATGCAGATGAAATACAGCCTGCGACCTGTGATCCTGGTTTGTTTTAAACCCTGATTCCTTTGTTTTGTTGTTGTGTATGGAAAGCATAGTCCAAAACGGAAAGCTTCTGCAAATATGCTTATCCTGTGGCAAAAGAAGTTAACAGTTACGGAACAGGGATGACCAATGTGGAGCTCTCCAGATGTTGTTGGACTACAATTCCCATTATCCCTGACCATTTCCTATGATATTCGGTGTGTGTATGTTGTTAATAAACCAAGTACAGTTGGGTTTCTCTATGGTATATCCTAAAATAATAGCTAAACAAGTCTTGCAAATAAGGTTGTGTTCCCTTAAAAAAACAAAAAAACTTGCTGAGAGCAATGAGTCAGTGCGTCCGGCTGTTAACCAGAAAGTTGGTGGTTCGAGCCCATGGAGAGACAACTGTGGGCAGGATTCCTCCATTGTGGGGTTAGACTAGATGACCCTTGGGGTCCCTTCCAACTATGATTCTGTGGATATCAGCTCCCCCATGCTTTGTATTGGATAGATAGATGTGGCAGTGATTTAAGATGCAGATCTCAGTGTCATTTTCTCCTTCCACCCCTACCTTTTTTTAAAGCACGTGTTCATGTAAATTCCTTGCTTTAAAGGTTTCAAAAACAACAACAAAGAGCTGGAAAGCTGCAACTGGAGAGTGGGTTCATGATGTTACTTGAGAAAGCCAACCTTTATTGTATACAATTGGTTACTGCTGCACATTTGCAGGTCTGGTTGCCTGTGAACTCAGTCCTCTGCAGGGGCTATTTTCTTATGTCCATTGATAATGTATCGAGTGTGCTTTCACAGCTCAGATTGATGCCTCAAACCATGCCTCGAGCCAGGGTGGTGTAGTGGTTAAGAGCAGTTGTCTCGTAATCTGGGGAACCGGGTTCGCATCTCCGCTCCTCCACATGCAGCTGCTGGGTGACCTTGGGCCAGTCACACTTCTCTGAAGTCTCTCAGCCCCACTCACCTCACAGAGTGTCTGTTGTGGGGGAGGAAGGGAAAGGAGAATGTTAGCCGCTTTGAGACCCCTTCGGGTAGTGATAAAGCGGGATATCAAATCCAGACTCTTCTTCTTCTACTACTTCTGCACACACTGTAATCTCATAAAAGTTGCTAGCTTTGTTTTGCCAGTTTTGTTTTTTACTAGCCTGCACATACATACATCCCGCTGTCAGCCACGTGTGGCTTGACAGAAGAATAAGAGAATGGGGGTGGGAGAGAGAGAGAGAGAGAGAGAGAGAGAGAGAGAAAGGAAGAATTTGTTTTTATAAAGCTTCGTGGCCTGCCCACCTGGAGGCAATTCTTGTTGCACGTGACTAGGCCAGCCTGGTCAAGTACGCTCTGGTAATTATTACTTCCAGTGGTGCTAAGATTCTTCTGAGTGTCAGTTCAAAAAAATGAAAATGAGTCCAGTGGTACCTCGGGTTACAGACACTTCAGGTTACAGACTCCGCTAACCCAGAAATAGTACCTCGGGTTAAGAACTTTACCTCAGGATGAGAACATAAATCGCGCAGTGGGGACAGCGGGAGGCCCCATTAGCTAAAGTGGTACCTCAGGTTAAGAACAGTTTCAGGTTAAGAACAGACCTCCAGAACAAATTAAGTTCTTAACCCGAGGTACCACTGTAGTTGCAGGTAGAGGATGGAGCAGGCTTGTTTTCTCCTGCTCTGGAGGGAAGGACTCAAACCAATGACTTCATCTGATTCCTACTAAACACCAGGAAGAACTTTCTGACAGTAAGAGCTGTATGCTGTTGGAACAGACACCCATGAAAGGTGGTGGACTCTCCTTCCTTGGAGGCTTTTAAGAAGAATTTGAATGGTCATCTGCCATGAATGCTTTAGCTGAGATTTCTGCATTGCAGGGGGTTGGACTAGATGACCCTCGGGCTCGTTTCCAGCTCCACAATTCTCTGGTTCTCGGTTGCTGTAATCTGACAAAACTTAACAAGGAACGGTAGAAGAGTAATGGATTGTTGGTGTGATAATCCTGGGAGCGGGGCACTCCTTTCCACTTCTTGTGCATAAGGTGAGATACTTGACTGGTACCCGGAATTTTCCAAAACTGTTGTCAAGATGTGGCGAAGAGAGCTAAAATCAAACAAGAGAGCAAGCACAAGTAAGTGTGTCTCCTGCCTCAAGTTGCTTCGTTCCAACACAATGAGCCAAAACTCTACGCAGTACAGAGACCAGTGATCCACTCTTTGGCTGTTTTGTTAAGCCTTATAAAGGAAGGGCAGGATAAATTAGATTGGGGCATTGTGCCACTAGAGTTAATCCTATCAGCCCGTGATCAGAAGTGCTGACCCACCAAAGCCTGCTTTTTTTGGCCAGGGGAATCAGGCACAATGCAGATACCATAAGCAGGACCATAAACTGTTTGGGTGGGTGTTGCCATGAGGAAAACATTAACTCTTCTTGCAGCACCATCCTAATGCAACCTCTTCCTATTCTCCATCCCCGACAGAGCTGCGTTGATTTGATATTTTTCGTTATCCTTTTAGTTACCCATATTTTTAGTTAGTATCATGTGTAGCTTGCCGCTCAGGCCCCAATAATTAAATGGGCATTGGCCAGGAATAGAAATATTTCTCTAAAGGAGACAGGCAGTAAGCAAGATGTGAGCCTCCCCTTCAGGAAGAAGCCCTCAATCTTTCACTTAGTAGATCAAACTGATCTGAGCAGTGGTATGCAAAAGAAAAGCTGGAAAATCTGGTTTTGGGTCCAAGGAGCCAAAGCCATTTTTCAGATTCTCCTTATAATGTTTTGCTCCAAGACTGTGATGCAGTGGCAAATTCTGAAGTGCAGGTGCTGTTTTACGACAACCCTCATAGTTATGCCCCTGTAGCCATGCCCCTCCTGTGCAACAGAGATAAATGTCTGGCCAACGCAGACATTATGGCCTCAGTACCAAGACAGCTTTTTCTCCCCATCCCATCCACGCTTCTGTTTTGTTAAAATTCAGCCTGATTAAGAGTTTTGGTGGGCTCAAATGCTTACTCACGCTTCTGGTTCTGGTCTGCCTTAATGGATGCCACTCCCATGATAGTGGAGACCGTACGATTCTGGGATTCTACGATTCTCCTGCAAGGAAATGAAGAGACCCAGCAATATTTTGTCGCACTTCCCATGAGTACTCTTTAACAGTGACCTCAGGTGTTTGTGTGGCCCATGGAATTGGGAGACCGTTGCACCCTGACTGGAAGGGAGTTCCATAGAATTTGGCCTGCAGTGCAGAATGTTCACACAGCTCTTTTGGTTACAGCCCTTCAGATAGAGGAATGCCCTTTGCAAAGTCAAGGCACATGGCTGCCCTCCAGTTGCCATGCCCTCAAACTTGGTTAACTGTTCCAGACAGCAAGGAACCCGAAGTAACGTGTGCGATGATAATTGCTCTGATCTCCAGTTACTTGGTACAATACATGATTTATTTGGATGACCATACCCCCTCCATTTTTCACAGGGATTCAAAGTAGCTTAAGGCGTTTCTGGTGCAATCTGATAATTTGGAAGCTTTTTACATTCATAATGCTGGCACTCAAGCCTTCTTTCAGTGGCGCTGGCACCAGCTCTGTTGGCTTCTGTTCGGATGCTGACAACAAAGGATTAGCTCAGAGTTAATAAGGTTGTTTTGAGCAGCCTTCAAATTCTTGCAGTGTGGTTGGAGTGACGCTCTGGGATTGTGACATTGCACTTATTGGGCAATATGGCTTGAGTTGAGACTTGGATAAATACTTAGGATGACCTATTTTTACTCATAGAGTACACCCATGGGGGGCGAATAGGTCCATTAATTTCAATAGGTTTATGCTGAGTTAAACTTATCTGAATACCAACCCTGCCTTAATACAGTGGTACCTCGGGTTACAGACGCTTCGGGTTACAAACTCTGCTAACCAGGAAGTGGTTGCTCCAGGTTAAAAACTTTGCGCCTGGATAAGAATGGAAATTGCGCACCCACGGCGCAGCGACAGCAGGAGTCCCCATTAGTGAAAGATCTATTTGCAATCCTTGTTTTGCTGATTTCATTTAATATTCTATTTTTCTGAGATTGTTAATTTGGGGTTTTCATCAGCTGTACACCTAATCATCACAATTATAACAAATAAAGGCTTGACATATCTTGCTTTGCATGTCATGAGTCTATCTCATATATTAGTTTCACCTTTCAAGTTGAATTACTGAAAAAAATGAACTTTTCCACTATATTCTAATGTTTCAAGTTTCACCTGTATGTATCTGAAGAAGTGTGCATGCACACGAAAGCTTATACCCAGAACAAACTTAGTTGGTCTCTAAGGTGCTACTGGACAATTTTTTATTTTTCTATATATTGTGACTGCGTCACAGCTACTTACCTGAATTTTGAACTGTATGATTACTGACAAACACACTCCTGTGACACCTTGGGATGTGTGAGCTCCTCAGCAATCTGGACATCTGCAAATACTCTCTAGGATGTAGAGTGCTAAATTCATCAGATGATAATGATGGCTATATTTATGAATCACCTTTTATATACCTCCCAAGGCAGCGTAGAAACATATCATAAAAACTGCAAAAAGAAATGCTTTTTAAGATAAGTGTTCATTTTGTATTGTTTTTAAACCTAAGGCGGGGGGGGAAACAAAAGTAACTCTCATAAGCCTCAAGCCAGCAGGCAGGGATGCTGGGAGCTGTTCTCCATAACACCTGGAGGACATACCGTATTTTTTGCACCATAACACTCACTTTTTTCCTCCTAGAAAGTAAGGGGAAATGTCTGTGCGTGTTATGGAGGAAATGCCTATGGGTGACATGCCTACGGATTTTCCTCCTCTAAAAACTACGTGCGTGTTACGGTCAGGTGCGTGTTATAGAGCGAAAAATACAGTAATCTTGGCTACCCCTAGGATAGTCACTTATAGACAACCTCCTGCACCCAAACATATATTCAGCCCATGGCCTTTCACTGGTCTTCCTGTGTATTAACACACATCTGATGGGGATTAATGGGCAGCTGTGAAATAAAAACCCAGCACCCCAGGTTATTTTTAAGCCATTCTGCAAATAAGTGTAGCAACGCATTTGCCTTGCAAAGAGCACTGGTAATTCTAGTCTTGCAGATTCCCTGCTGCAGGGTTTTCCCCTATCCTCTCTGCATCTATACTCTCCTGTTTTCTCTCACAGATCCGCTTTCCTGAAGCCAGCCTGAGCCAGCAATGGATCTGAAGCGAATGAAGGATTACATCTACTGGCTCTATTACCAGTATCTCCTGATCACCTGCAGCTACGTCCTGGAGCCCTGGGAACGATCCATGTTTCACACCATCACAATTACGGTGGTTGCCATGGTGGTCTACACGGCTTACGTCTTCATCCCCATCCACATCCGCTTGGCTTTTGAGTTCTTCTCGCAGATATTTGGAAGTCAACCCGAAAGTACTGCTTCACTTATGGAGTGATCCCACCAGCACCAATGAGCAGTTCTTTGCATGCAGTGGGAAAAAAAACAAACACCACAGTCTTCCTCTTTCTTTGACTGTATTTGTTTTGAAAGCAATTTTGAACATGTGGGTTGATGTGCATGCAGATTCCGCCTTCTCTTAACCAAGCCAGGCTGTCATTGCCCTAAATACCAGCTGGCTCTCTCATTGGACCATCTGTTTAAAGCTGCAATTGGACCATCTGTTTAAAGCTGCAATCCTATCCAAGCTTACCTGGGAGTAAGACCCATCAAACGCAGCTTACTTCCAAGTAGACATGCGTAGGTTTGGGATGTTGGTGACAACTTCCCCTTGTAATGTGTTGCTTTGCTAAGAACCTCTGTATGGATTGCATTCCTATGTGACACATCTTAAATGCCTAGTGAACCTGATTCATTATCACCTTTTGGGGACCACTGTTGGGTCAGGCTTGCATGTGGTTCACTCACCTGTCTTGCACACCTCATACCTTGAGTGTTTTCCTATCTAGCAGGAAGGAATCTGTGAATATTTTTGTTTAGGGGTAAGAGAAGAACTCTTACAATTACAGCGTTTTATGGCTTTTTCTTTTGAAAACGATGCTTTTATAAAAGTTCAGTAACTTTTCTCTCGTGATGCTTCCCCAACCCCAGTTCCTCCCTGATGACACATATAAAGTAGCTCTTTATATAGGACTTTACACCTGGATTTAAAGCGATGACTTTCAGCTTATGTATTCTGAGTAGAGAAGGGCAAAATTGGGAAACACACACCTGGTTTGGTGAAGGCTAAGCAGAAATCTGCCTACGCAGAGGGGTATTCTCTCCCCTTCCTCCCACAGCAGCCCTTTTGCTCCCCCACCTTCCCAAAAAGCTGGTCCTGTGAGGGACCCTCCACAAAAGTGATGGATGTATTGCAGGTGGCTGCCACTGGAGGCAGGACTTGGCAGAAATGGGGTGGAGGGCTGACTTATGGGAGTAGAAGTGTTTTTCCCTCAAGTAAAGCTCCTTCTGGATCCCAAACATGAAATAATCAAGAGCCTGTATCTCAAATATGTTATAGTTCTGTCAGGACAGGAAAGTGTATCTGGGTTTGAGGGGAGGAGCCACTGCAATATATATGTTTTTTAAAATCTTGACATTTTGCAGGAAACAGACTTGGAGCTGTACCTGTTGTTTACGGTGAAGGTTTTGTTGTTGTTTTGCCTTGCAGCATGGAGTTCACCTTGCTGAATGCCAAATACAGAACTACTTCCTATTCTGTTACTTTTTACACGAGGTAAATAAAGCATGTGTTCATGCTATTCTGGAAGTAGAAGCAATATCCAAATAGCTGCAAAGGCTCTAAAAGCATTTATATGGAAGATTCAATACTGAGATTTCCCTTTTTAGAAAGCAAAAAGCAAGCTGCCCTTGGGCCAACTTTTCTTTTTGCCTTTTAAATGTGTCAATGTTATACTTTTATCTAAATGAAATATGAATGCCACACAGGGCAAGCTTGCATATCTGCTAGATGTGCTTCTTGCAGCAATGCGCAACTCTACAACTGCTGGAGGCGATTTTAAGTGTTAAATGTAAATAACACTCAGTGTTTGCAAAATTACATGCAATATCAGGAAATTGCTTCTTTTATGCAGACTGTGTGAGACACTGCATGTAAAAAAAAAAAGCAAGTTACATTGTTTCTGTCACAAAGATGTGTTTTGAAGATTTAAGAGATCTGAACATGTGTGCTGTTTTGCAGAAACAAGAATAAAGTTAAGTTTATTTTAAGAGGTGCCTGTGTATCATTTGTTAGGGATGCAATTCTGCTCACTCCATTCATAGTGAGAGAAGGTGTGAAGGCAGCTGTTAAGACAGGTTCATTGTCACTCCTTGTACCGCTAAATGAACCCCGGGCAATTTTTATGCTCTTGTTTCTTTGCTTCTTCATTGTTGTTGGCCTCCGTCCATCTCGAGAGAGAATGGAGTGTACATCCGTGGGTGAAGTGAAACTGCTGTGTTAGCAGCCCTGAAGTGACCTCCCTGGGGTGCAAGCCTGGGCAGTGTGTATGGAGGTCCTGGGCTGCCCAGATGACAAGACACCCCCCCTCGGCCTTGCTGATGTGGTCCAAAGGAAAGCAGAACAATATGTTTGTTACCAGCTTGGCTGCAGGCGTTGCCAAAAGGAGGTGTACAAGGCACCATCCAACTGTCTTGGGGACTCCAAGTTTGTGTGGGGTTTTCTCCTTAGCCTTTTCTTTTCCTGAAGACATCCCTCAAGGCAATGGAGGTTTAGGTTCAGAGTTTTCCTTCTCCTAGATTGGCTACCTTAGATTGTCGTGGTGAGTGGGCTTGCATGTTCCTATGACCCTTGTGAGTGAAGCCGTCGGGAATCTCATACTCCCAGCAGGGTCACCCAAGGTGGTAAGGTCAAAGGGAAGGAGCTAGACAAAGAATGATCCAAGAAGTCCTCAACGGCAGAACAGGCGGATGATAACAAGCGGTATGTTACAACAGCTGTGAAGGTGGATGAAGGCTGCAGTCGTGACTACTTCATGCCATCGGAACAGAGCCCTACTGTGAAGACTGTGCGTTGGTCAGTGTGCACTGATCTACACAACATAAAACAAATTCACACACAGGCGTCTTCCAAAAACCCAACCCAAACCCCAAAAGTCCCATGGCGATCGGCAAATGGTAACGGGGGCAGGATTGTGAAATCTGGAAGCCCCCTAGTCATGAACCGGCACATGGGCAGTGGATACAGATTCAGTCGTTCTGGCTCAAGGAACGAGGCAGTTGAGCAGCTCGGCAGCTGTATCCATGACTGAGCAGCCCTTTTTAGGAACCGTGTTTATGGAAGACAATTTTACTCAGCTACGAGTGATTGCCAAAGAAGAAGAAGACCTTCCCAGGTTGACAAGCCCCATCTGCCCCCTCTACAGCATGTGCAGAAGCCGCCTTCTTGACCATTGGACCCACTATTGGCCTCATCTGCTCAATCTGTCAGAGCCTGTCTTCACATGCAGGGGAAGTCCCTAATTCACCCAGGGTTTGAGACCCATTGGCTACCCTCACCTGGTTTAACCAACCAGTCTAAACCCTTTCCTGGGGTGTGGCCTCTGTCGCATGCTAGCAGCTTCTAGGAGCCACTGGTGATGGCTGATTGCAGGGTGGGGACCAAAGGTGGATGATATAATCATTGTATTGTGTGCATTGTCAGCATCGCCCTTGAGCCAGGGCCACCAACTGGACTCATCCACTTCAGCCCCGACTGGGCTAGGCGAGCTGGGTAGCACTTCCAGAGACCACCTTCTGCACAGGAACAGGTCAAAGTGCTGTGGACTCACAGCTTAGAGTTGTGAGCACCGGATTCACTCCCACAAGAAGACAGTCGTCGCACAGCAGAGTACAGCAGAGTATATAAACAACTCGGAGAGCAGCTCTGTAGAATATCTTCTTTATTCTATCTACAACTATTATACAACTATATACAGAGCTAAATAGATCTAAGCATAAATGAATGCTGCACTGCACTGAGTGTCTGCAGCTGCTCTTAGCAGCAACCTTCTCTCTACACACGATCTCTAACACTCAGTCTCTCTCTCTCTCTCCGACACTGACTGACTGACTGATTCGGTGCTGGAGCAGAATAAGTAGAGAGCAGAACACGCCTCCTCCTCTCTGGAGAATCAGCAGACTCCTCAGGAGATTCTTGGATATGGGAGGGGTGAAATCTCCTTGCAAACTCTTCAGAAAACCTTTTCAGTGGTACACCCTTGGTTGTTCTCTCGGATCTGCACAAAACTCTCTGATCCTCTTGTTCTGGTGCTTCCTCCTCTTAGGGAGAGTGGGGAGCTAAAGTATATGAAGCTGCTAAGTCTGAGTCAGCGTCAGACTCTCCTGAGGCTTTTGGGCTCTGATAATCTGTGCCACCATCCGAATCTACATCGGCATCAGGATTATCATCAGCTGCAACAGCACTTGCCTCCCTCTTAACTGTCTTTGCCCCTTTTGCACCATCATCACAAATGGGATGGCACTGAAAAACGCCAACTCTGTCCCATTGTGGATTGTCGTCAATACTCCTGGTCAGCCTTATGGTTTTCGTGTCTGTGATCAGGACACGATAAGAACCTTTCTCGTACCCTAGGAAAACACCATGTTCTCCACGCTTGCTCAGTTTGTCACCCTGCAAGGTGTGCACCCAAACCTCCGATCCAAATGGTAAGGTAAAGGTAAAGGGACCACTGACCATTAGGTCCAGGCGTGACCGACTCTGGGGCTGCGGCGCTCATCTCGCTTTATTGGCCGAGGGAGCCGGTCATGTGGCCAGCATGACTAAGCTTCCAGGTCATGTGGCCAGCATGACTAAGCTGCTTCTGGCGAACCAGAGCAGCGCACGGAAAAGCCGTTTACCTTCCTGCCGGAGCGGTACCTATTTATCTACTTGCACTTTGACATGCTTTTGAACTGCTAGGTTGGCAGGAACAGGGACCGAGCAACGGGAGCTCACCCCGTCGCGGGGATTTGAACCACCAACCTTCTGATTGGCAATTCCAAGGCTCTGTGGTTTAACCCACAGCGCTACCCGCGTCCCTGTGCATATGGTAGTGTTATGCTTTTCATTTGAACACAGGAAGCTGCCTTATGTGGAGCCACTCATTGGTTCATCTAGTTCAGTATTATCTCCAGTGGCTCGACAGTGGCTGTCCAGAGTTTCAGGCAGGGTTCTCTCCCAGCCCTGCCCAGAGATGAACCTCAGACAAAAGGGGAAAGGCCACAGGTCAGTGGTAGAGCATATAGAAGGCTCCAGGTTCAACTGCCCTGTTGCACACATGCAGATGACAACTCCATTATACAGGGGGGGAAATCAGGTAATGTGCATCAGGTGAAGACATCCCCATTCTTTCTCCTCCTGGTGTGTGGAGAGCAGGGGGAAATCACCTTCCTGAGTTATAAGCTTCTGGTGTGTACATAGCCTTATTTTACTGTCAGTGGGAATTGTTAAATGAATTCCTAAGGATTTAACAGATGCCATGACTCTGGAGTTTTGACTTGCCCTTTTATTCTGATAGATTGCTATGTTTTGCTTATAGCATTTGATAAATTGCTATGTTTTGCTTTGAGTGATCCGCATTTTTATATTTAGTACTGTTTTCCTACTTTGGGTTTTCCTCTGGAAGAAATAGTAGATATACAAAATGGGGAAGAAATGAAATGATACATCCGTTGGGAGCTCTTCCCATGCTCAGATGCATTCCACAGCCCCTCCTAATTGTGTGAGCTGCCAGCAGATCTGGGGAAGAAGGGGTTGTCAGATGCTTCTGCAGATATTAATCATCTGTGTTCAATGTTCCAAGCACATCAATCCATGTGCCCAATACAGCTGCATCTTGACAGAGGAGACCTCCTATGGGAGCCACTCCTCACCCTGCCCTCCTGTGCACATAGGTGCAGGATTGCAGCCCAGGTTGGAAGAGGTGTTAACATCTGCAGTGGGTGTTTCTGTATGATGCATTTATTGTGGAATTGCCATGCCTCATTCACTCACATTTTGCAGGTTCTGCTTCCATCTTTTTTTCCTTGGCACAAAAAGTCTGCCTGCTTTTTTGTGTGTCTGTGTTTTTTTAAGGAGGACAGAAAATTGGTGCAAACACAACAGTTAATAGATGCTCTTCCCATTCATCCTCTCTTTCTTTCAAAAGCTATGGTTTTGATGTGGGCAAGGATGAACCCATTACAGCTTTTGGGACATGTTCACTATTAACTTTTCCAGAAATACTATTTTATAGCCCAGTTAATATTTTAATCAGTACATTAATTAGTGCAAAAATACTTTCCCAGCTATATATATGTTTAAATATAATAGTGGTTGCATGCTTTTCTAGGAGAGTTTTACAACACTGTAATAGCAGTAAATGCTTTAAAAAAAGAGCTGTTTTCAAATATTACCATTTTAGCAACGGTTTCCACTAAACAGTTCTAATTCAAAAACAATAATTGAACACTTAGCCCATTACTACCCATGAGATGTCAAAAAGCTACCACACTTAAATGAATAAAATACCTAATGCAAAATTAATAATTAGTTCTTATTATTAAGGATTGCTCAGAATTCCCCCTGCCCCAAATGTCCACTGAGGTGAATTGGACCTTCCTCTCCTTACAGAAAGTATGTTACACTCAACACTGTGCAGTAGATGGAACATAACAAGATGAACATGCAGAAAAATGCAGTATCCCTAGTGTGGAATGGCCAATTGGGATTCTGCTTATAGGCTACAGAAGAAGAGTGATTTATGAGTACAAGACCTCCCTGTCTGGAAGCAGCCAATGCAGCCTGTTTTAAATTCATTCTGTGTCTGTCTCTAGGTAACTTTCTACAGCACAATTTCCTTTCTTGATTATCTCTGCTTCTGAAGAGGAGGAACATGGCCGTTTCTACTTTGCATGGAAATAGTTATTTGTCTGAAGGCTTTCTGTGTTGATGCTTTGTTGCAACATCCCTGGGAGGCAGGAGCTTCAGGAGTTGACAGTGAAAGCCCATCTTGCTCAGATGTTTTCCCTTTTCTGACCTTAACTGCTGTGGTACTTCTTCCGAGTCCCCTGCCTCATTAGCTCCTTCTTGCCCCTCTGCTCATTTTGAATGGATGCATGCAATGCTTCTGGAATGCCTCTACAATTTGATTGCAGTCGCCATTAACAAACACCAGGCTAAAGTGCTTTGAAAGAGACTGCATGGAGCCTTTAGGAACAGAAAGCCGCTTGTGCAATGAGGCTTTCCTGTGCAATAAACAAAAATCTGCCCTTATTCCCTTCTGGAGGCCTTATAGAGTACTTTGTAGGTTCTCCATCGGTCGGAGAAAATAACAGAGGCCAACCAGAGAATATTGAGAAGCAAAGCAGCTTGATCTTTATTGAACTGTTGAAACAGGGTGCTCCCTTCACATGCAGGAGAAGGAGGAGGACCCAGAACCCAGGTGTGCCCACCCTTGTATAGACATTTTTAATTGCCCGCCCTGGAGTCCAAGACCACCCCCAGAAATATCATACATACATAACAGAAGGGGTGTAGCTCAAGACCACCACCCCCCAGACACATCATACCTACATCACAAAAAGGGATGGTCTACACCAGAAATATGTTGTTTAGCTCCTGTCTGGCAGGTTACCTGTTAATGCTTTGTTGTTGTTGTTGTTGTTGTTGTTTAGTCATTTAGTCGTGTCCGACTCTTCGTGACCCCATGGACCAGAGCACACCAGGCACTCCTGTCTTCCACTGCCTCCCACAGTTTGGTCAAACTCATGCTGGTAGCTTCGAGAACATTATCCAACCATCTCGTCCTCTGTCGTCCCCTTCTCCTTGTGCCCTCCATCTTTCCCAACATCAGGGTCTTTTCCAGGGAGTCTTCTCTTCTCATGAGGTGGCCAAAGTATTGGAGCCTCAGCTTCACGATCTGTCCTTCCAGTGAGCACTCAGGGCTGATTTCCTCAAGAATAGATAGGTTTGATCTTCTTGCAGTCCACGGGACTCTCAAGAGTCTCCTCCAGCACCATAATTCAAAAGCATCATTTCTTTGGCGATCAGCCTTCTTTACGGTCCAGCTCTCACTTCCATACATCACTACTGGGAAAACCATAACTTTTACTATACGGACCTTTGTTGGCAAGGTGATGTCTCTACTTTTTAAGATGTTAATGCTTACTTGATTGGATACCCTGGGGAGCCTGGCCAGTCTTTTGTAATGATAAATACTTAGTTCCTGAGACAGGTCACAAGCTCACCCTATTCATACACAGACAATACCCTTAAGACAGGATTTGTGAATGAAAAGACCATGGGGAGGCTTTTCTGTTTTCCTTGACCTTGCAGAGAAATCATTTGGTCAGTTTGGGAGTCAAAATGGTTTCCTTTTTTTTTTTTTTTTAAATGATATTTATTAAGGTTTCAAAAAAGGGGTACATAAATAAGAAAGAGAAAAAGAAAAAAAAGAAAAATACAAAATACAAAATACAAAAAAAACAATTAAAAAGAATTGCATCTTTTCATCACTTCTCTTTCATTTACTTGTTTCCCAGACTTCCTCATACCTCCCTTTTTTGTATTCCAGTTCAATTTGTTAGTCCAGCAATTCCTTTCCCTCCTTTTTAATCCTGATCTTTAATCTTAATATATTATAGCTTTAGGTTTTTACGTATTGAAAATCCAATTTTTCCATATTCTTTTATACCATTACAGCTAGAAACCACTTAACTTCAATCCAACATCATTCTAACATTCATTAATTTTACAATATTTCTGTAAGTAGTCTTTAAATTTCTTCCAATCTTCTTCCACCGACTCTTCTCCCTGGTCTCAGATTCTGCCAGTCATTTCCGCCAATTTCATATAGTCGATCATTTTCATCTGCCATTCCTCCAGTGTGGGTAAGTCTTGTGTCTTCCAAGTATTCTTTGCAGTAAGTATTCTTGCTGCTGTTGTAGCATACATAAAGAAAGTTCTGTCCTTCTTTAACACCGATTGGCCGACTATGCCCAGGAGGAAGGCCTCTGGTTTCTTCAAGAAGGTATATTTAAATACCTTTTTTAATTCATTATAAATCATCTCCCAGAAAACCTTAATCCTTGGGCACGTCCACCAAAGGTGAAAGAATGTACCTTCAGTTTCTTTACATTTCCAACATTTATTATCGGGCAAATGGTAGATTTTTGCAAGCTTGACTGGGGTTATGTACCACCTGTATATCATTTTCATAATATTCTCTCTTAAGGCATTGCATGCCGTAAACTTCATACCTGTGGTCCACAACTGTTCCCAGTCAGCCATCATTATGTTATGTCCAATGTCTTGTGCCCATTTAATCATAGCAGATTTCACCGTTTCATCCTGAGTATTCCATTTCAACAGCAAGTTATACATCTTTGACAAAATCTTAGTTTTGGGTTCTAACAATTCTGTTTCTAATTTTGATTTTTCCACCTGGAAGCCGATTTTCTTGTCCAAATTGTATGCCTCCATTATCTGATAATAATGAAGCCAGTCTCGCACTTTGTCTTTTAGTTTTTCAAAACTCTGCAGTTTCAATCTATCTCCATCTTGTTCCAAAATTTCCCAATATTTCGGCCATTTGACCTCCATACTGAGCTTTTTCAGAGCTTTCGCTTCCATCGGTGATAGCCACCTTGGGGTTTTATTTTCCAATAAATCCTTATATCTTATCCAAACATTAAACAATGCTTTCCTGACAATATGGTTTTTAAATGCTTTATGTGCTTTAACCTTATCATACCACAGATATGCATGCCAACCAAATACATTGTTAAAGCCTTCTAGATCCAAAATGTCAGTGTTTTCAAGAAGCAGCCATTCTTTCAACCAGCAAAAAGCTGCTGATTCATAATAAAGTTTGAGGTCTGGCAGGGCAAATCCACCTCTTTCCTTTGCATCTGTTAGTATTTTAAATTTTATTCTGGGCTTCTTGCCCTGCCAGACAAATCTAGAAATATCTCTCTGCCACCTCTTGAAACAGTCCATTTTGTCCACAATTTGCAATGTTTGAAACAAAAACAACATTCTAGGCAATACATTCATTTTTATCGCAGCAATACGACCCAGCAGTGAAAGCGTCAAATTTGACCAAATTTCTAAATCTTTTTTCACTTCAGCCCAGCATTTTTCATAGTTATCTTTAAATAAGTTCCCATTTTTTGCTGTCATGTTAATCCCCAGGTATTTAACTTTCTTAACCACTGTTAAACCTGTCTCATTCTGAAACCTCTCTCTCCCCATTGGTGTTAAATTTTTCTCTAAAACCTTAGTTTTTAACTTATTCAATTTAAACCCTGCAACTTGACCAAATTCTTGAATCAGTTCTAAAACCCTTTTGGTACTAGATTCTGGCTCCTGTAACGTCAGTACTAAGTCATCTGCAAATGCTCTCAATTTGTACTGTTTGGCTCCAACCTGTATACCTTTAACCAACTGGTCCCTTCTTATCATATTCAGCAGAACCTCCAGGACCGATATAAAAAGCAATGGGGAGATTGGGCAACCTTGTCGTGTCCCTTTTTCTATCTTAAATTCTTCCGTCACCACATTATTTACAATTAATTTAGCCTTTTGTTCCGAATATATTGCACTTATACCATTTTCAAAACCTTGGCCTACCCCCATACCCTGTAGATTTTTTTTCATAAAAGTCCAAGAAATATTGTCAAAGGCTTTCTCCGCATCCACAAATATTAAAACTGCCTTAGTATTTATATTCACTTGTAATTTTTCTAAAATATTAATTATGTTTCTCATATTATCAGATAGATGTCTTCCTGGGAGAAAGCCTGCTTGGTCCTTGTGTATCTCTTCCACTAAAACTCTTTTTAATCTTTTAGCCAAAATGTCGCCAAAAATTTTGTAATCCACATTAAGCAATGATATGGGGCGATAGTTCTTAAGCTGCGTCTTTTCAGTCTCTGTTTTCGGTACAAGTGTGATATATGCTTCTTTCCACGACTCTGGTGCCCTTTTCCCCTCCATTATTTCATTACAGACCTCTTTCAAAGGTTGTACTAGCCATTCTTTTAAGGATCTGTAGTATCTAGAAGTCAGTCCATCCAGTCCTGGAGATTTACCCAATTGCATATTCTGAATGGCACCTTCTATCTCCTGTTCAGTTATTTTGTAGTTCAACATTAATTTATTTTCTTGAGAGATTTTTTGTAATCCATTTGTTTTCAAAAATCGATCTACTTCAGTTTCTTTCAGTGGCCCTTGTGTATATAGTTGTTTAAAGTACCTCTGGAAACAATTTCTAATCTCAGCTGGGTTCTGTATATTCCTTCCTTCCACTTCTAAATTTGTAACTGTATTTAATTTTTGTCTTTTTTTCATTTGCCAAGCCAACAATTTCCCACATTTATTAGCCGACTCGAATGTCTTTTGTCTCATTTGTTTAATTTTCCATTCTATCTCCTGATTCATCATTTTCGAGTCAAAATGGTTTCCGGGCTGTTTTCCTGTACTGCTTCAGACACGTGGTTCATATATTTATGTACGTGTTTTGCTTGGTATATTTATGAACATTTATTATATATATAAGACCTTAAATTTTTTATTTCACTTGCCTGGAATGCTGTCCTGGTGCTGGCAAAAGAATCCTACCTTGCATTAGTTTGATGAAGTAATGCCATTAGCATAAGGATTTTCGTTTGTGCAATGGAACATCTTCTCCCCATGCACAGGCTGTGCCTTCCCAGATCTGCTCAGGAGGCTTGGGAAAACACCCAGAAGGGATGGGAGGGCGGGGCTGCAGTGGGCACATGGGGAGAGGAGAGGGGGAAGTTCCACTGCACAGCCAGAAGCACCTTGCACCAGTGGACCTGCCAAGAGTATTTGGAAACCTGAACAAAAGGCTCCACACTGCAACATTTTGTAGCAGGGCCTCACTTGTTCCATTGCATTGCTGTGGGCTGGACCTCGGCTAAATTAGTTATGCCTTAGTCTCAGTGAAATCACTGGGATTTAATTAAGTCATAACTAACATAAGCTTGATTTCAGTGGGACTAAGGCATGACGTACTGTATCTAATCACACATGCTTGGAAAAACCGAACTTTCAACATCAGAATGCCATTGTACAAACCTATAGTCTGTCTCCCCTTCATGGATCACTGCCTTGCCGTGAAAACGAAGATCATGGCCACTGGTCCCATCACCTCCTGGCAAATAGAAGGGGAAGAAATGGAGGCAGTGAGAGATTTTACTTTCTTGGGCTCCATGATCACTGCAGATGGTGACAGCAGCCACGAAATTAAAAGACGCCTGCTTCTTGGGAGAAGAGCAATGAAAAACCTAGACAGCATCTTAAAAAGAAGAGACATCACCTTGCCAACAAAGGTTCGTATAGTTAAAGCTATGGTTTTCCCAGTAGTGATGTATGGAAGTGAGAGCTGGACCATAAAGAAGGCTGATCGCCAAAGAATTGATGCTTTTGAATTATGGTGCTGGAGGAGACTCTTGAGAGTCCCATGGACTGCAAGAAGATCAAACCTCTCCATTCTGAAGGAAATCAGCCCTGAGTGCTCACCGGAAGGACAGATCCTGAAAGCTGAGGCTCCAATACTTTGGCCACCTCACGAGAAGAGAAGACTCCTTGGAAAAGACCCTGATGTTGGGAAAGATGGAGGGCACAAGGAGAAGAGGACGACAGAGGACGAGATGGTTGGACAGTGTTCTCGAAGCTACCAGCATGAGTTTGACTAAACTGCAGGAGGCAGTGGAAGACAGAAGTGCCTGGCGTGCTCTGGTCCATGGGGTCACGAAGAGTCGGACACAACTAAACGACTGAACAACAAAATAGTCTGTCTGCATTTGTAATATTGTGTGCAGTTTCATTCACCTCACCTCAGAAATGATATTGTAGAGGTGGGGAAAGTTACAGAAAGGGGCGAGCCAGTTGATCAAGGAGGTGGAGTGTCTCCTCTGTGAAGAAAAGTTGCCGCATTTGGTTTAGAGAAAAGGTGAGTGGGAGCAGATATGATACCAGATGAAATAATGGATGGCGTGGAGAAAGTCGTTCCCCCCCCCCCCATAACATTAGGACTTGTGGGCATTCACTGAAACTGAATGTTGGTGCATGGTTAAACTATGGCACTTGCTGCCATAAGAGGCAATGATGGCCACCAACTTGGATGACTTTGAAAGAGTGCAGCAGTGAGTTCCGCAGGCTTAGGTTGGAAGGTCAAACAAGAGTACGTACAGCCAAGAAATTGAAGCAAACCAGCAGCCAGGAGGCCTGATCTTTATGGTTGCAACTAGGCTCCCAACTACATAGAAGAAGCCCCAATCAATGGGTTACATTTCAAAGTTTTCCAAAGTTTTCCATAATACATCTCAGGATGCATCATCAAAATATAGATATGTCACAGCAAAGGTGTGGTCTCAGGTAGAACCTGAGATCCAGGTATGCCCCTGTCACTCAGATGTAGTCTTTTACACTTACTCCATCACAGTACAAAGGAAAGCATTTAGAGTTTCCAGGTTCCTGAGTCAAGTCAAACACACCCCTTTGTCTTGACTGGGCTTCATCCCACTATGGAGTAGGTAAGCATTGTGACTGAGATGATTATCTGTCTGGCACTCTTGGGGCAGGATATCACCAGTCAGGACTCCTTGGGAAGGCCCTGCAGACATGACTGTACATCTCAGGGATTATGGTGGGCTCTCTCACTCCTCCCCTTATACCTCACTTCCCGGGGTCCTAATGCCATTGGAACTGAGAAGATTGATACGAGTGATTTCTTATGAATTCCTAAGGTTTTCCCATTGAGCGTAGATACATTTATCAGTGAATTTGGTACTGACACTTTCCCTGTTTTCCTTTGTTGGAGACCTGGGGCTCAGTGGGGAATCACAGGCCCCTGAGCTGAGCTTCCATGCAGAAGCAATGCCTTTGCAGAAATGCTGCTGTTATTTTCTCTTGACACTAGAGCAGTGGTGGCCAAACGTGGCCCTTCAGCTGTTTTGGGACTACAATTCCCATCATCCCTGACCACTGGTCCTGTTCACTAGGGATGATGGGAGCTGTAGTCCCAAAACAGCTGGAGGGCCAAGTTTGGCCATCACTGCACTAGAAGATTTGATTTGACAGTTGAAAGGCAGGGAAATGTGCGTGAGCAAATGGTTTGGTAATGTGCAGTGGAGACTCTGTAGTCTCTCACCCCTCCTTCCAATTTTCCAGTAACAAGAGGACTGGACAAGTTGTGCATCATAAGGCTATAGATGGCTACTAGCCATGATGCACACACTCTGCCTCCACAGCATGCTTCTGAACACCAGTTGCTGGAATCCAACTTGTTGGTCACTGTGAGGACAGGCTGCTAGACTAGGCTGGCCCTTGACAGCCTCTTCATATGTTCATAGTCTTCCTGCAAGTTGAGTAACAGCCTGTATCCAAATACTTGGCATATGTCAGGTGTTGCCGGATTGTATTTGGTCAAGTGATGGTCAAGCCTGATAAAGCTGGCAGTTCAGGTTTGGCTTGTATTGCTGTTTAAACATCTTCCCCCCATTTTTCTGCACATACCAACCCTTCCTACCTCTCACAGGTCCCCGGCTTGCCCTCTGGCAACCCAGTGAACAGAGAGAGAGATGCTGAGATAAGTCAAGTCTGTGATTAAGAGAGTTGCAACAGGTTTGCACACAGATAATGCGATAATCACTGGTCGGTATGATTATAGACCCTAATTAAAAAGCACAGTGGATAAATATTTGAAGACTCTAAAGCACCCAATGGAAATATCAGGAGTAGCCAAAGTGTCCTCCAAATGTTGTAGGACTATAACTCCCAGGCACCAAGCAAATATTCACTTTGCACCAGGCTCCCAGGAAGAAGTTACTGTATTTACCGGTAGCTTGCGCACACATCTGCCTCCACCATCCCTTAACAGACACACACTGGTGGGGCTTACCTAAATTGTCACCAAATTTTGGAGAATTCCTTGGTTTGGCAGAAACTGATGGCTTTTTAGGGAAGAATGGGATTGACTGTAGCCCCCATCACTCTGATAAGCCTTACCTTTCAACTGGATGGACCATAATTCAGTGGTACAGAAAATGCTTTGAATGATGCAGGAAATGCTTTGAATGATGGAGTTAAAATGATCTGGATGAAGGCGATGGGAAAGACTTCTGCCAGTCAAAGCAGACACTGCTAAGGTAAATGGTACTTTGACAGGGCTGTCTTAAGCATATCCGGCGCTGTGGTGCAAAGATCCCTCCGGCGCGCGCACACACACACACACACACCCGTTTCCCACATCATACATTCGACACACATTTAAAGCACATGATTCCCCCCAGAGAATCCTGGAAACTGTAGCTTCCCACTCACAGAGCTACAGTTCCCAGGATTCCCTAGAGAAAGCCATGTGCTTTAAATGTGTGGTCTAGAACTGGTGTCAGCGGCTGAACATCTGCTTCACATGCGGAAGGTCCCTGGTTCAGTCCCTGGCATCCCCAGGTATGCTGGGAGAGGACCGTGTAAAAATCCCAGAGGGCTGTTGTCAGTCAGTGTAGACACTATGGAGCTAGGTAGGCCAGTGATCCAACTCTGGTTAAGTTATCTCTCTATAAAAGTAGCATTTCATTTCCTCAGGTCATGTGTCCCCTGTTAAACTGGCATTGTGGAGGAGGTTGTCCTATATAATGGACAGGGGGAGGGGGAGGATTCTCCTTTATGGGAAAAAAAAGGTGTCAGGGAACTGCCACCGGCTCAGAGACGAGAGATGGAAGGGCAGTTGTGTTATAGGGAGCCTCCGAAAATCTTGTGAAGCAGTTCCTCTTCCAGCAAGGAGGAAAGCCCCACCTCCAGTGGAGAAGAGGTGCAAGGACCAGAGGATGCTAGCGAGAGCCTTAACACCGAGCCTGAGCAAGCCAGAGAGGCAGGGAGCACGCCCTTGCCCATCCTGTGCAGTAGTCTTCAGCGCAGGGAGGGGCAGAAAAGGCTGGGGGTGATGAGACTTTTATGCTGGGGGAGGTACAAAAACAGACCACTCCCGGATTCTGCTAGCAATTGAGCCAGAAACTTCTCCCGGTTTCTCACCCCAGGAGCATGTGCTGAGCGGGGCTTTGCTAGGGAAAGGGGTGCTAGGGCAGAGATACGGTGTTGGGAGAGCCCTTGATCTTGGTGTAGAAAGTTAAATCCGCTGGAAGTGGGGAGAGGGCAAGGCTGCTTAGTTTGGAGATCACAATTTACAGCGAGCCAAGGAAGGAAACATGGTCCTAGCGCATCCTACGAGCACTGGAGGCACGCAGGCACCAAGCCCCCGCTCCGCCTCGCTCACATCCCTGCTCTCCCCTCCCCAGACTCTCCTCCTGGCACCCTCCACAGCTTGGCGCCCTGGTTCACTGCGCCAAAGCCCCTGTACTCCGGTATGGTCTAGGCTGCTTTGTTGGTTCCTAAAGGTAAAGGGACCCCTGACCATTAGGTCCAGTTGTGGACGACTCCGGGGTTGCGGTGCTCATCTCGCTTTATTGGCTGAGGGAGCCGGCGTACAGCTTCCGGGTCATGTGGCCAGAATAACTAAGCCTCTTCTGGCGAACCAGAGCAACCCACGGAAACGCTGTTTACCTTCCCGCCGGAGTGGTACCTATTTATCTACTTGCACTTTGATGTGCTTTCGAACAGTTAGGTTGGCAGGAGCAGGGACCAAGCAATGGGAGCTCACCCCATCGCGGGGATTCAAACCGCTGACCTTCTGATCGGCAAGCCCTAGGCTCTGTGGTTTAGATCACAGTGCCACCCGCATCCTTGGTTGGTTCCTAGGAGCTACAAAAGCTTCTTAGCATGGTTTGTAAGCAAACACAAATACATCTTCATGTGGCAAATGAAAGCACTGCCAATGTCCCGAGCTAACGAAGGGATCAGAATAATTATTTTGAGCGAAGAGAGCTGAGGTTCAGCATATCTGTGGTTAAAAATAAACCTGTAATGAAGCGGAGTCACGTCAGACAGTTCTGACTTCACAACAGACCCATTTCACACAAAGCATAGGCTTTGTACCATCTCTTCTAGCACTAAGTGAAAGCCTGTAATTTCCGAAGCCGTATTTCGAGCTTCAAAAGAATCACAAAGGGTTGGAAATGAGGAGGGTACGGTACTTACCACAGGGCAAAACAAAGCAGAGTGCTGATGGCTTGAAGTCATTTCAGATGAGGTAGCATAATCAGCAGTTGTTTACAACTCCATAATTCATAAAAAAAATGAAGAATTTCGTGGAGACGTACCATTTGTCTTTAAGTCGCCAGAAGATTCTCTGCTGCTTTCCATGCAAAATTCTGCACAGCCAGCTATCCCTGTAAAACCGTTTCAGGCATTGCCCTATAACTGGCATTTAAGGTCAGCCTCCGTGACATGGATGGGAAAACTCAGGCTGGTGGTGGGGCAAATGTGGCCCTCCAAACCTTTATATCTGGCCCACTGAACTCTCCTCAGGCCATAGCCCTCACCTGACTTCCTTCTGTGAGCGTTTTGGCCAAGCTGTAATGTGTCCCTGAACTTCTGCTTGCTGAGCAGCTCCCCCCCCCCCCCCAATCCACAAATATTATTGAAAAGCATTAAAAGTACCCGCTTAATCCTGGCTACACCAATGTTCCCACCCCTATCTTCTCAGGATAGCTCACACTCCTGCAGCCAATCAGAAGCCGCACCTTGATTTTCATACGGTTCCAGGAGCTGAACAGACTGCCGGAATGCATTCTGTTGGAGAACCAAGGAACCACTGTGGTAATATTTGAATACACACCCCACCCCCAGTTATTCCCTCCCCCTCTTTCTTCTTTTCCCCACTTTCTCTTTTAGTTTTTTTAATCTTATATAACATATCAATGAGATTGACTGCTGTTGGCTTTTGTTCTCATTACCTAATAAACAAACTGTATGAATAAACTTTTAAAAAGCAACAATTGGAAAAGGGTCTCTAGCCAGTGACTACTCTGTTTAGTCCAAATTGTTGCAGCAAAGATGTTGGTACCTGCTTTAGTTTAGACACAGCATTTCTGCCATCTGCTGGGCACCTTCAGAACCACAATTTCATTCAAGCCATCAAAGCAATTGTGCCTGACAAAGGATGGACAAAGCCAATTCCTGCTTTTAAGCCATAGCCTGGGTATAACAGTGGGGTTTGCTTGTTTTTTTGCCAGGGCTGCAGTCAATATTGTAGACCTGTTTTAAGGGTGAAAATTCCAAATCAGTGGCCAAAGCACCAGGCACGTTGGTAGACCAGCTCTGTTACAAAGATGTACCTGCAAACATGAAGGCTGGCAACGTTCGTGGTGACATGGCTGAAAACCATGTATAATAAGAAAGGAGTAGTAAAATTCATGCTTAAAAGATGGTCTGATAGTTGGTACCAGAGGAGAAATGGGACAGAAGAGAAATACACCATGATGGATTTTTGGACTCTTGCTTGGTTGGAGATTTGTTTGAATGAAGGGTGGCAGAGAAATATAACAAATTTTTAAAAGTGTATCACCAACATGAAAAGTTTGGAAAGGTCTGTTCTAACCCTCCAGAGCGGATTTGGGGAAGGTGTGGGGCAGGGGAAGAGGTGAAAGCCCCACTGCCCTGGCAGGAGCCCTTGGGATGCCTTCCACTTGCTGAATCTGGCCACTTGAAATTAACGGGTCTAAATTACTTGTGGTAGACTCATTGAAATCAGTGACCACAAGTAAATTAGGACCATTAATTTTGATGAGTCGGAGTAAAAAAACTTAAGATGGGAATTCCACAACAACAACAACCCAAGCAGATAGCCAACTATAAATAAAATTATTATTATTATTATACACGGATGCCAACAATTTTACTGCTTCTATTGCATATTTACAAAATAGATACCCCATGCACATATCTGCTTTGTTATTTATTGATATTTAACTGAAAGCTTTGTTAACGATTGCTCTGTTTCTACTGTTGCCTTTCTTTGTATTTTCGGGTTTTATTTATTTATTTATTTATTTATTTTTATTATTAATTATTAATTATCTTGCTGTGTTTTATGCAAACCCGCTGAGGGATTTTGCCCTCAACCATATATTAAGCGATATATTAAAATGCTACTGATGAGGAATGATGGTGATACTTTCGTTGCTCTTTTAGAAGAAAATTCTTATTGGAAGCGGAGAAAGGAAAGGAAAGGAAAGCGACGCCTGCTCTGCCGAGATGCAATCTCCCTGTTACAACGAGTCAAGCTTATGAAGCCACCGTTAAAAAAAAGGAAAGAAAAAGGGACCCCTGAGCAGCTGCAGATGGCACTTCTACCGCCACCTGCCCATGCCTCTGTCTCTATCTCTCCCCCCTCCCACTCCATCTGAACAACGGGGCTTCCTTAGCAACACCCGACGAGAGCAAGCCTACGCCTCCGGTTCTCAACTGAACCTGCGGGGAAGGGAACGCACGCTTTCCTTACCTCTACGTCGCCACTCACATGGCGACTTCACGTTCCCCCCCCCCCGCTTTCTTTTCCCACCGTTCTCGCGAGAGCTGTGCGTTCTCTCTATCTCTCCTCTTCCAGGACGTTGGAACGCGAGGCGTAGACCTGACCGTGAAGCGAAAGAAAGTAAGTAAGTGGCGAGGGGGAAACCGAGCGCGAGTCGCTTTGTGGGGCCTCTGCGTTTGGCAGGGGAGGAGAGGAACGCGCGGGGCGGGGGGGGGCGTTGTTTCGGCGCGCGCAAAACGACCGTTGGCTCCCTCAGCTGCGCTGGGCCCAACCGCCACGTGCCGCCTCGGCTGCCTCTTTCCCCTCCTCCTCCTCCTCCTCCTCTTCTTAATTTAACCGCTGGCCCGAAGTGCTACATTACCTCTCCACTCGTGGCTGGATATCGCTGTCGCCATCCACTGCTTCCGAAGCTGTGGAGTTTGCCGCGTTGCCATGTGGGCAAGAGTGCCTCTGAGCGGGTGCAGATCGCTGCTGCTGCCGCCAAGGGACCCCGCGACCTTTGCCCTACCTAGAGCGGGAAGGCGACGAAGGCTGCCATAGAACGTGGCATTATCACTGAAATGGTGGATTGGTGGATTTGTTTTCGAAATGATCGTCTAAGTAAAAAGATTTATTTTAAGGAAATAAATCTCGTTTGAGTAGGCTCGAAAGAGGCATCTGTTTTTCGTTTCCTTTCAGTACAGTACTGTGTTGCTTCCCCCCCTCCCCACTACGTGTTGCTTCGACCTTACAGCCATGGGCATAGCCAAAGGGGGCAGCTGCCCCCCTAAATCAATAAAAACACTTAACTAACTGAGGTGCTGCCCCCCATAACAAAGGCCTGCCCCCCCAACACAAATGCTGGCTATGCCCGTGCTTACAGCCAGTCAGAGAGCCCCTGCTTTCCTGGATGCCAAATGTGTTGTATTGCAAGTCACTTTGGGTTGTCGTGGAAGTGACTGGCCAATTTAATTAATAATAATAATAATAATAATAATAATGTTAATAGTATATTAGACTGGCAATTTGTTGCTGTACTCAGTCAGCTCAATGTCCCCTCGTGCCAGCAATTATGTCCTTAACAGCTTTGGGACCCCACATATCCACATCATACTTTTAATAATTATAAATTTATTATTTATACCCCGCCCATCTGGCTGGGTTTCCTCAGCCCCTCTGGGCGGCTTCCAACAAAATATTAAAATACAGTGGTGTGTTAAACATTAAAAGCTTCCCTAAACAGGGCTGCCTTCAGATGTCTTCTAAAGCACATTTGTACCATTTTTAAAAGCTATGCCTTCCTCCAAAGAATCCAGAGAAGTGTGGTTTATTCATCACAGAACTACTGTTTCCAGCACTGTTAATAAACTACAGTTCTCTGGATTCTTTGGGAGGAGCCAGTGGCAAAGTGGTAGAAAGCTGCTTTAAATGTATGGTATGGGTGTGACCTAACATATGTCACCACCCTACCTCAGTTTCTTTAGTACTTGCACCTCAGTATTTGAGCTTCATCAGTATCAAAAACATAAGAACATCCCACCCACATAGATAATCTGGTTGACGACGATGAGAACAAGATGTTTAAATGTTTGGCTTTTTGATCTGATCCAGTTGGGGGGTTCTTATGTTAGACACTCTCTGTAATAGTTGGACCCTAACCTGTGCTCTCAACTCACTAGGTGCTAATGCGTGTCTCATTCTTGGGAAACACGTGTGAAGCTAGAGATGGAATACATGAAAGAGCCTTCTACGGTCAGCCAGGGGAACATGTGAGTAACATACTGTCTTTGACAGCCATACAGGAAGGAGTGTTATCCTTCATGTGAATATATGTGTGGGAGAGTCACTATAGTGTAGTGGTTAGTAGGCCTGGGTGATACCGTATTGGCCCAAATATAAGCCGCATCTTTAAAATTGGAGGGGGGGGGAGAGAGAAAATACCCAAATATAAGCCGCTCCATTCATCACTGCTCCTGGCTGCATACAGGGGAGGGGGAGCTGACTTTTCCCTTTCCTCACTCTCTCCCTTCCTGGCCTTAAGAGAGAGGATGGGGGGGACTACGCAGGGGCCCTGTTTGCCCTGCGCTCCTGGCCGCATACTGTAAGGTCGCGAATATAAGCTGCACTTTAACTTTTCACAGTCGGAATTTGGGGGGAAAGTGACGCTTATATTCAGGCCAATACGGTATATTGATATACCAGGATCGGTATGAGGAGCAGACTGCAATGTCGGCTTCACTCAGCGGTATATCGCCAGCATTCCTTCCTCCAGCAGCACTGCTAGCAGAGGGACTCGGGAGCAGTGGCAGTTTCACCAGCGATATACCACTGAATGAAACTGCCATTGCACTCTGCCCTCATGATGCAGAGGAAGAAACAAGCTGAATCAGTGCGGCTGGGGAGCGGGAACCTTCCTGATCCCCAGCTGAGCTGCGCAAAGCAGCCCTGGCGTTCATGCCCCTTGCGTGTGAGCAGGGAAGTGCTGGGGCTGTCTCAGCTGGGGAGGGGGAATCTTCCTCCTCCCCAGCTGAGCTGTGCAAACAAGCTGCCTTGTCCCAGCCCGTGAGCGCTTGGGTGAAACCGCCTCAGTTCCCGAGGTGAGAGCTGGAACAATTTCACCAGGTGCCTCGTGGACAGAGGCGAATGCAGCTTGTTTTTTCAGCATCGCAGTATATCGCCAAACTGTGATGTTTGGCTGGCGAGACACCATGATGTTGAAAAGCTGATATCGCCCAGCCCTAGTGGTTAGAGTGTTGGACTAGGACCTGGGAACCAGGGTTCAAATCCCTACTCAGCATTGAAGGTGACCTTGGACCAGTCATTCACTATCATCTGAACTACCTCACTATTGTGAGAATAGATTGGGGGCAGCTCTGTATGATACCTGGAAGGTAAGGTGGGATATAAATGAAATAAATGAATAAGTTGCTTGTTTGAAATCAGTTGATATCTCCTTATATGTGGAGGACTAAGGCAGAGCTGGAAGTTTTTCCCCCCTGGTGTATTTGCTTTCCACTATGCAAGAATTGGGAAAGATTGAGGGCACAAGAAGAAGAGGACGACAGAGGACAAGATGGTTGGACAGCGTTCTCGAAGCTACAAACATGAGTCTGACCAAACTGTGGGAGGCAGTGGAAGATAGGAGTGCCTGGCATGCTCTGGTCCATGGGGTCACGAAGAGTCGGACACGACTAAACGACTAAACAACATGCAAGAATTTGCCATGGAGGGCTACTTTGTAAGAAGCAGTTCTCCCCATACATGTCCTCCTGTTGTTTATACTCTCAGATGTGTTGGAATATCAAAGCATTAGAAATTAGTAGAGCTAGAAACAAATAGTCATTTTGCCTACTTGTTCATGGGTCAGAACCTACTTTGTCAGGTGCATGTACCAAGTGCTTCATAATTGAATTGTGAAATGCAAGAACAGACCTGACTCTCAGATTATTACTAATATTTGCATCAAAGCACTTGAATGAGCTCTATTCTTACCTTGTTCATCTTCAAAACAAGATTGTTGTTACACCGATCTAGCCAACTAGGCACATGCAACTGAGAACTATTTACTGAAGGCCATCCATTGTGTTGCCTCAGTAGCATTTGAACTCTGGTCTCATATGTTTGAATTATAATGCTGTCCAGGGAATAATCATGTCTTTGTCTTTTGTGCATTTCGGTTTCAATGGTCATTTTCTTCCTTCCTTCTAGCCTGTGCTGCCAGTGTGGCATTGCAATTCCACCCAATCCAGCCAACATGTGTGTAGCATGTTTACGGACTCAAGTGGACATAACTGAAGGAATTCCTAAGCAAGTCATTGTTCATTTCTGCAAACAATGTGGAAGGTACCAACTGTTTTCTCAATCTTAAGGGTGCTGACATAATATAACTTTCCTGAGTGCTTATATAAACAAATTTAAAAAGTAAAAGTAGATGCGTAGATCCAGAAAAAAATGGCTTAATCCACAGTCAAGCAAAACCTTTTTTTAGGCTAAGGGGAAAAATGCAAAATAGTGTGCAAAGGCCTTAAGTCTGCTTGTGGCCAGAGTCCTTAAGCAGAATAAGCAGGTATTCAAAAAGGATTGTTCTGCATGTTTCGGTAGATAAAAGGTTTCACCAAGGGTTTTGGAAGCATCAGCTTAACAATGGCTGGTTCCCTCTCTCTAGAAATACAAAAATTGTCAATTACCATGTCTTCTTTCTGTGGCACACATTGCAGAGACAGATAGTAAATCTTGTAGTGAGGAAAGAAACACTTCATAATCACCACAACATCAGTTGTCACAACATCACTAGGGATTTTCAGAGCATAGTTGCTGAACAGAGAATTGTCAGAACTCCAACTTGGGGGGGGGGGGCATGTAGCTACCTGCATACTTTCCAAGAAATATGGAATCTACTTTGTGGAAGGTATGGGTAGACAGATTGAGAGTCTTCTGAAACAGAGTGCTTTGTTCTTTTGTTGCATTATGTGACAGTCTCATCTTTTTAAAATTTATCGTTTGGTGTCACCAGTCAGGTGCAACCCACCAGAAACTTCTTTTGCATAAGGGCAGTTAAAGCGAATAGGACTGCTGCATTGACTATAAATCATTGCTGTTCATTTTATTTAAAGAAGTAGCTGTCTGACATAAGGACATTAATATAATTAGCATACATTAATGTTGAATATCATAATGTACTATGGGGGCATTATTGTTTTGTAGAGGGGGTTATTGTTTGCTCATTATTATGTTATGTATTTCTGTGTTTTTATACTGTAAACCATCACATGGGTCCCCAGATGAAGGGTGATGTGTAAATTTAATTAATAAGCCTTGATTTATATTTTGTATTTGAAATTGTTCGTGTTTTTCTGCCTTTGTCATGGAGTATGGCTACCACAATAAACTTGATGATGAAATAAATAATACCCTGAGAATGTTGTCTAGAGAATTCAAGAGCTCATATTATATTCACACTGTATAGCATATTCTTTGAAGGTCAGTTTGTCTTAATTGAGGTAGTTGTTGAGTTGTCAGTTACCTCCAGCCTCTAATGACATTTTGACTTAAACTTTCCTTATTGTTTGTTAGTCAAAATTCTAAAACCTTTCACTGTTTACATCTGTTGTGCATGGTGATCAGTTGAGTTAGCAGGTGCATATGTATGCATCATACTTAATCACAACTTCTTTGACCATTTCTGGCTGTAACATTGTGAACCATAAACCTCTGTTTTTGTGGCATTCAGTAGAAAGCAATGAGTTGTTGAATGATGATGAGGAATTATTTTCAGATCCAGAAGACTAGGAAATTATTTTTGTGGCATTAGTGTTATGTAGTTATAATGCTATTTAAATATAGGCACTTCATTGTATATATTTGGTTTGAGTCAATTTCATGTATTGCTTTTATTTTCAATTTTAGATACCTTCAACCACCAGGAACTTGGATTCAGTGTGCCTTGGAATCAAGAGAACTTCTGACATTATGCCTTAAAAAAATCAAAGCTTCCCTTAGTAAGGTTAGTCTTGTAGCTCTATATTTTTATATGAAATTGGAGTCTACTATATTTCTGTAAACTTCATTCTGCTTGTGAAAGCTGTGATTCTTACGTGGAGTTAGCCACTAATGATGAGTTGATTCTCCAAGCAGATGTACTTTGGTTGTACCTTCCAGTTCTATTTTGGAGGCACTGCATACAATGATAGTTCCTTAATGGTATGTACTGGGGCGTGTTTACCACAGAAGAGCTGTTCCTTGATTCTGTGTTCACAAGTACCTATGCTATTAGAATCTATACCCATAAGCATCCACAGAAACATAATGGACTGGGTTATCACTCTTGACCCGTTCTGTTTGTGAGGAAAAAAGCATAATTAAAATTATAAGAAGAACTGAAGAAATACCACTTTCATGATGTGACTAGACATGGAAGCTGCATGAAATACCTTCATCATTCAACAAGCAGTCTTTTATGAGAGATTGAGAAGCAGAATGGCCGTTGGACCATCTGAGTAAAAACCCCACTTCTCCCAGTGCTCCTTGTGTCCCAAGCTGTGAAGGACATCAGCAGTAATAGCCTAGGTGACAAAACCCCAACCTGTGAGGGACACTTAAAGTTAGGTGGCTACAACATTGTGGTTTTTTCCCTGAGAGCTGTCGTGCCCAAGAGATTCAGAGCAGAGTAGTAGGAACATGTTGGTGAAATGTTATTTGTAAAAAGATTTATTTACCACGATATTGTAAAACATCAGGGCTACACTATAAGGCACAGCATAAAACTTTAAACATACAGATAATGTGATTAAGTTATGAAATATGTTTTCATCCATCTTGTCCAAGTCTGAATAGGCATTCAGACAAATGAAATTATGCTGTTATGTAGCTGACAAAGAGATGATGATTTATTTAAAGTGCTAATAGGTGTAGGGATATGTTTGATGTAGCAGTTCCATTGGTGTAAGGGTTCCATTGATGTAAAGTATTTGCTGCTAACTTAGAGGGTTCTTGTAGCAGTTGGGTGGGGTATATTCTAAACAGCAGTTTATGGCTCTGTACAGGATTTCACTCCATGAATTTCCAGTTTGTGCATGAAGGTGAGCTAACGTTCAACGCAAAAGTCAATAAGCCAATGGGCAGAAGCAAGCCATGAAGTGGAAGCAGGGATTATTGTCATCATTTGTTGATTAGGAGGCATACATAATAGTAAATGGAATATTAAAAGTTTTAATAAATGCCATGTATCATTTCCTGTATTTCAACAGTGACATTAATTGAATGTAGGAGCCCAGACCTGTGTGGCACCATTTCTGTTGTTCAGCATTTGTAGAAATATACAATAATGGTAATCATGCATCTCTTTCCTCCTGGCAGGTGCGGTTGATCGAAGCAGGATTTGTATGGACTGAACCACATTCCAAAAGACTTAAAGTAAAGCTGACTGTACAAAAAGAGGTGATTAGACTTTGGAGTGACGTTTATAATTCAAAATTATTAGGGAAACCAGGAGTATGTTGTGTTAGCTAGAGGAAGTCAAGGATGTTCTTGCTTGTGACTTGCTGAGTTCTGAACAATGTTGCAGCTGTATTATGCACCATGAAAGTCAGTCCCATTAAAATACTAGAATTTGTTTCCATATAAGCATGTATAGAACCAGGCTAGAGGTTTCTGTATATTGAAGGGATCCAGACTTAGGATTGGGGACCGGACTTAATGATCTTTGTATTCCTTCCACTTGTATTCCTTCCATTTCCATCAGTCAACTTTATAGCACAATTGTGAGGTCAGTAAGAAAAAATAGCTGGGTAGAAAGCTTGGAGTATTGAGCTAAGACTCAATACTTCAGAGCATTTGGGCTATTAGCTGTATCTCCTTTAATGCCAGTTACTTTTTAATTTTAATTTATTTAAACAATTTATTGACCAGTAAATTGCAATCATCTGTAAGCAGTTTACAATGATAAAAAACAAAAATTATATGAAAGTATATCTATACCGCCACATTATAAAAGATGGCATAAACTATAGAACATCATTTAATTTTTCTAAAATGCATACAATTATTTAGATGACTTCCTAATCAAAAATTAAGTAGTTGCAAAGACCTTTTGCCACAAAAACGTGAACAGATGCTTGAAAGTCAAAAGTGAGGATACCCAGCAAATCTCTGCTTGAAGAGTATTCCATAGCACGGGACTGGCAACTCTAAATACCTGACTTCTAGTTGAGGCAAGTTGCTCCACCACTTCATTAAGGTCCAGGCCTTGCAAAGCCCGATTCAGATGTTATAGAGAAATAGAGCTGCATGCCATCAACGTGCTGATGGCACTTTGCTCCAAAACTCCAAAGCTCTCAGTGGCTTTATATAGATGTTAGATAACAATGGGGCCAAATGGTACCCTGTGGAACCCCATAACACAAGTGGCAGGGGGTCAAAGAACACTCTCCCATGTTACTCTTTGGCTTCAACCACACAGGTAGACTGTCAAAGGTTACTCCCCAGAAACAACCTAGTACAGATGACAGAAAAACTTAATCTTGCACTTAACTTCCTTCCATAGGTGATCAATGGGGCAGTTCTTCAGCAAATCTTTATAATAGAGTATGTTGTTCAGTCTCAAATGTGTGATGACTGCCATCGAGTTGAAGCTAAGGACTTCTGGAAAGCAGTGGTACAAATTAGACAGAAGGTATATTTGTGTTATATATACATGCATTTGTGGTTGCCTCGTGTACTGAACTTGTGTATAAAATATATGGCTTTTTAAACTCTGGGTTGCGGGGTATTGTTTTTGTTTCTTAAATATGGTACATATTTTATATTGTAATCTCCCCTGTGATGCTTGGGTGAAGGATGGTATGGAAATTTAATGAATTTTGAATAAGCTACAAAATGCTTCAATGTTTTTGGCAATTATACATATGCCTAGGTCCTAGTATGTTCCACTAAACGTGCTCGAATTTAATGCTGAGTAAATACAATATAGTGCTGCATATTTATGTATTCCTGCTTTAGTAATTTCCAGGGTCTTATGATCTGTTTGGACCTTGGGTGAAGTAGCAACCCCAGCCACATTTTCAGATGCCCTGGGGGCCTTTACATGAAAGTGATGTGTACAAATCTTATTTTTATTCCTAGACTCTACATAAAAAGACTTTCTATTACTTGGAGCAATTGATTTTAAAACATAGGCTTCACCAGAATACTCTTCGGATTAAAGAAATTCATGGTGAGTGATGTTTATGAAGCGACGTAAGTTCTTGTAAAAGCAAATATGATATGAAGTACTTGCAGGCGTGAAGGAGAGGCTAGGTTTTTGAAAATAAGGGCTTTGGCATGTAATAAATATGATGTTTTGTGTATATAACGTTGGTCACACTTGGAGTACACCCACTGAAATCAGTGGGCTTCATTGCTTTCAATGGTTCTGCAGTGGCTAACAGTAGATATCACCCATATAATTAATATTTTGCATAGAGATGATGAGAAATATATTTATTACTAGGGGCTGCCATGCCTGCTTGTATTGCTCACCAAGCCACCACCTCATCCAACCTTCCATTCCCTCACAGCTTGTTTGTGATAAGCGTAATATATTTTTAATGAAGGGAGAAGTAGTTTTGGGACTTACATGAAAATCCATAAGAGCTCTGAAGAATATAGATCCCTATGATAATATATCAATATGAACTGCCATGAGTTTTAATTCCATATACATGCTTTCAGATGGCCTTGATTTCTACTATGCTTCAAAACAACATGCTCAAAAGATGGTGGATTTTCTTCAGTGCACAGTTCCTTGTAGGTAAGACTGTCTTTAAAGTGTGTGATCCTTTGCATAGCTGCATCATTAATTAAAGTGTTTTAGTTTAGTCCCACTGAAGCTAGTGCATAGAAGTAGTCTCAGTGTTGCTCTACCTGGATCAGGGAATCTCTTTATATCACAGAGGCAGCAGCGGTGGCAGTAGTGCCTTTGCCTCTTGCCTTTTTGTAGGTGCTTGCAACAACTACAATGCTAAACTTTAATTGTCCAGAAAAAGCAGCTTTCTTTTCTGCCTTCAAGATGCTGACCCATCCTGGAACTTCCCCTTTAGGGTCCCTTGTCCCACACACCTCCAGTTTGAGAACTTAGGGGTGGTTTGTTAAACATAGCCAAAGATTCTCACTCTTTTTTGTCATTTGTGGGGTTTTCACTTTCCTGCCCAGTTTGTTATTGTAGCCATAAAATTACCTTTTTTTTCTTGTTATCTCTGATTTGGATTTGCTTTTTTAAATTTCAGGTCTAAATCATCCCAGCGTTTGATCTCTCATGACATTCATAGCAATACATATAACTACAAAAGCACATTTTCTGTGGAGATTGTTCCAGTATGCAAGGTATTTTTGACTTGATTCCTAGCCCGTAAACAAGAAGAAACTATGCTTGGGTGCTTGGGGGACTTCCTGTTAAATGGATTGTTTGCACTGCCAGTGCTATAGAAGCTATAGCTGCTAAGACATATACCCCATTTTATTCAGTGGGTCTATATAGGATTATAGCCTAAAACCACAATACTATGAGAAAACAGAGGCTATCTATTTCAATGCTAGCATGCATTTCAAAGAGCAAGTGTACAGATTTACACATACATCTTCTCTGGTTCAGTGTAGTTTGAAGGGATAACTTTCATGAGTGAGCAAGATGTCATAGCTAGAATTTTTCATACCATCCAGTATCCAAACACAACACATAAGGAGTCATCAAGTACTAAACAAGTATGTGTGAATCCTCTTGAGAATGTTAATTATTGAACTGCAGTAACAGTTTTTCCTCTAGACTGCTGGTACAACACATTGATACGGCAATAAAATGCATATTGAAGTATTTGTTTTTCAATTGGAACTTTTGTGTTTGGGAAAGACTTGGAGAATATGTTCTAACGATTTCACAGATTAAGAAATTTTACAAGTGAAATGCGCCTACAGTTCTTACGGTCTGAAATCTTAACTACTAGCTTTTACAGAAATTCAGCTAAAGGATTTAGTTAGTTGCTTGTAGTTTCCTAATCCTCAGGCCTCCTTTTAGCATTTTAGTAATTCTAACAGCAGATTTACAATGGGAATTGATGAGCTTTTTGTTTTTGTTTTGTAATTGCTTTGCTTTCTTTCCTTCTTTTCTCTCTCTGTTCAGGACAATGTTGTATGCTTGTCTTCAAAGCTGGCTCAAAGCCTTGGGAATATGAGCCAGATTTGTATTTGCCTCCGAATAACTAGTGCCATTCACCTCATTGATCCTAATACATTGCAGAGTAAGTTTTTTTGATATTTTTCATATTGAAATGTAATCCAATAATACTAATAGGAATCACACTCCCATCAGCAGAAATTTATATGAGCCTGAGGTTGATGTATTTGAAAAACTAAGCTACAGGCTACTATGATGGCATCAGGTGCATTGAAGAGAATATCAGTCCTATGCGACTTTTCCCGCACACACAAATCATAATAGTGACTTACAAGTAACATCTGCATTACTTCTATATTTCTTGTCTTTCAGTTGCTGAAGTGGATGGAAACACTTACTGGCGTCATCCTTTTAACAGCTTGTTCCAGCCAAAGCAGTTGGAGGAATTTATTGTAATGGACATCAGCAAGGCCCATGGGAGAAAACAAGGTGCTGGTGCAGGCATGAAATCCAACAAAGTAAGAATTTTTATTCTCTTATTTGCACCTCTTCTAGAAGCTTGGCCAGATCTTTCTCCCTGCCTTGGAATTGTTTAGCTCTGTCACATGTCATTTGAAAGCTGTCAGACCATTGATCTATTTAGCCCAGTTTGCTAGTCTAACTGGTAGCAACTCTTTCCCATATCTGCTCCCTAAGATCCTTTTAACTGGAGAAGCTGAGGATTGATCTTGGGCATTTTGTTTCCTAAGCAGGTGCTCTGCCTTTGAGCTATGTCCCTGAATTATATGTTAGTGTAAGTTCTTGTATTTTTGAATGAGGTGTACTTCTTTTGAAAGGGAGTTCTACATTTGAGATGTCACTCCCAAGAAGGTCATGTCCATCTTTGTCCATTTAATATCTCAGGTTGATAAAAATTAAAAGCATTTATGCACATTGGAATACGCCAACTTTTGCTGTGGATAAAGAAGGAAAAACAAGAGAATCTTTTTTAATTATTATGAATCAATTCTTACTGTACACTTTGTGTATGTAAAGTGCATTAACTATCACAATTCTGCATCAAAGTGACTCAGACTCCATGTGAAGCAAACTTATGTTTGTGGCGTATAAATTAAGCAAATCTGCATGGTTTTGCTTTATTTTTACATTACTTAGTCAGCTTTGGTTCGACATGACATGACATGTTTTGCAAAATCAATTTGTAGGTCAGTGTAGCAACCAGCATATACCATTGATACATGGAATGGCATTTTCATTACATTGCTAGAAAAACCATGCAACCATGAATTTTAAAATGTGAGAGAAGGTTTGGTTCAACTCTTAACATATCCAACTTTCATTTTTAATCATATGTGTTCTTTTCCCTTTGTTATTTTGAAGCATACACTTGCTGAAGCCTGGGTGCAGAAAACATCAGAGTTGAATACCAATACCCAATATTTCTGTCGTACTCACTTGGGGCATCTTCTGAATCCTGGAGATCTTGTGCTTGGGTTTGTAATGCTCTATTCTGCTTCTGGTTGATGTTCAGTTCCATGCTTGCATACCACTTTGGAAGGCTGCAGGACTGTGCCCCTTCAGAACTAATAACTTATAATTGATGCTAATTGGAGCTGGTTTTCTGAAACCTTAAGGTACTCTGAAAGCTGGGAGGTATGAGGGCTACAGGACTGGGCAAGGTAGACACCTCTGAGTTTTCTGCAATATAATGATTATAGGGAAAGTTGATGACAACATTGCATTAAAAGGAAGAGGATAAATTTGAGAAGAACTTCCTTTTAATAGCTAATGCAAAATATAATGTGCAGTGGGCAGTATTTACCCTCATGCACCTACTTGTTAAAAGGCAGAGTAATTCACAAAGCTGAATCTTTTAAGAGCAATGCTTGTTCAGGGTTGTTTGTAATAGGCTTCTTACTTTAGTCGGAGGCAGGGTTCTACAAACCCATTCCCTAATGGTGAGTGCCTCTCCCTTTCTAGCAAGTGCCTGAGTTCTCTGGATTTTAAGAAACCATTTAAAGGACTTCTGTGCATACCCCCAGTAAGTGCTAATCCTGGCGATAAATGCTACTGTGTTTTTCTCTTGGAGACCTTCATCAATAGCTGTTGGCCCTGGGCACCATCCTGTTTCTAGGCTTAATAATATTCTTGACACAGAGCAAGCAGAGATGTTCCAGCAACAGGTTCTAATCAGGACAGCAATGGCACCAGTTTAGCCTCAAGGCCACGCACAGCTCTTCTGCCCTTCTGACGCCAGACCTGTCCTCTTAGAGCCCTTAGAGTGAATTTTTCTTCTTCCATTTCCAGCACATTAGCTGGTGGCCATCCCTGTTACACGCTTCAGGACTCCACAGTTAAAAACATCCGTTTGCAACAATTTTTTAGAGGTGGCATTGTGCCATGCCTTCAGGATTGGGAAAATTAAAAGAGAACACTGAAGGCTGTAACGTGTCATTCACATGCTGTCTCCTTAGATGCCCATAATAAATATTGTCATCTTGATATTACAGCTGGAAAAGTGCCAACAAACCATTGGCACACCAAATGCTCAACAAACTTTGTTTCTCTCCAGGCTTCTTCCAAAGTCCCATGCAGAATGCAGTGAGATTAAATCCTCATGCAGAGGATTTGAGGCAGTGGAAGTGGAGGAGAAGCAGGGCAGAATGGGCTAATGGCAACCATTTATAATAAAAGTAGCAAGTAAGCCAAGCCAAAATGTATGGAGCTCTGATTTGTCACCATTATATCAAAAGCTCTATAACGTATCTCAAACCAAGCTGTTAAATGGGTATAATTATATAATTTTAAAACAGAATTAAAATCTTCTCAATGCCAGCCTTAAGACAGCCCAAGTAGGTGGATAATTTGACATTTCCTAAAGGTGCAAGGTCTTGAGTTTTAGCAAGTCTCCATTCTTGTTACTGTTTTGATTATTTGTTACATTTTCTGTATGAGCATCCTTTGCTTTTCAAAACTTCATTCTTAACATCCCGGCAGTGCCTGTTGTTGTTGTTGTTGCTGCTGCTGCTGCTGCTGCTGCTGCTGCTGCTGTTGTTGTTGTTGTTACATTTTCTTTCCCATTGTGCTTTGCTGTTTCTATTAGAAATATTGACATTTCTGAGTTGTGTAGAAGTATGATACAACTAACAAAGAAACCCTTCTTCATATTATTATTTTAGATTTGACTTAGTGAACTGCAATCTAAATGATGAATTTGCAAATAAGATGAACCCACATAATGTTCCGGATGTGGTAAGTTTTTGATACTTCTTTCCTTCCTTAAACAGACATTTGGGCACTGATGAACAGTTTTAAGATCATCATGATATAGACCAAGAATCTCAATCTCTTTGCTAGCATAGGAAATTATATAGTTTTTTATTACCTTTATATGTCTGGGTTTCGTTTCCTGTCTGCCTAAGCTTTCTGTCAAGCCTTATGCCCATCCTGCACAACTTGGCTCTCTTTGTCTCCCACTAGTGTCTCTGTGCTTTCTGCCTGTTAGGTCAAGAAAAGTGTCATTTGATGAAAATCCTCCCCAAATCTTTTGCTTCCGCATAATGCTAGACAATGGAAACCTTATCGATTCTGTCTAGGTCATGAAGGCTCACTTCACCATACCTTTCCCAGTATGTGTAGTCATTCCAGAAGCAGAAACTGAAGCCTTGGTGGTCCACATACAACCCATGCGGCTTGTGTTGCTTAGCCTGCTATAGTGGCCTTTGGTGTCATTGATACTGCTAAAAATAAAATTCACCCTCCTGCTTTTCCTGAATTTGTACATTTGTTCATTTATTCTTAGATGCATTATTTAGTCCCGCCAATATATCTCTGGTGTTTTTATACTGAGGTTTTTTCTTTATTTTTTTGTCATATGGAAATCTTAACACCACTTTAATGATCGCAAGCCTGAATATTCTGGTGGAATAGTTAAGAGTATGAGCGATGAGTTCAGTCTCTGGTTCAAATGTCATTTCACCCATGAATTGACAGTGTGTATAATATGTCACATTCCGTGTCTGTCTTCCTTTCCCAGACATTAACATGGAGGCATATCTCACAGTAATATACAATATATATGAAGTACTTTCAGCATTTATGGAAAGCAGTACAAAAGTATTTAATAGCTTCCTTCAATATTTGTTCCCCCCACTGCCCCTTGTGGTCAGTTTTAACACTACAGTTCTGTAGTTGCTTCAAATACCAACAGAGCCGTCTTTACCCAGGGGTGCAGGGCCCCCGAGCACCAAATTCTGGGGTCGCCAAATGTATTCTGAGGGGCACCCAAAAAAACCTCAACAACTTTTGAGTTGCCCCCCCAAAAAAAAAAATTGGGGCAGCTAAACTAAATTGGGGGCAGCTAAATAAATTGGGGGGGCACTGGGCGGATCTTTGCACCCCGGCAGTGCATATGCCAAAGACGGCCCTGAATACCAATTTTCATTTACGCTTTCTCCTTTAATGGATCCCTCAGTATTGTTCTGTAAGTGGTATTTCTGACACAGTACCTTGCCTTCCCCTTTCCATTCTTAGGTTTTGATCAAGAAGAGCTATGATCGCACAAAACGTCAGCGTCGCAGGAACTGGAAACTGAAAGAATTAGAAAGAGACAGAGAGGGCATGGATACAGATGATGAAAGGTATTTGAGGGGGGGGTGTTCCGTGTTATCTCCCATTTGTTCAACCACCCAGTACATAATTTTATGAGCAAAATAAGGTGGCAGAGAAAACAACTTGGATTTCATGCATGCTCTTTAGACCAGGGGTAGCTAAGGTTGTATCCCCCCGATGTTGTTCATTTCCAGTTCCCATCATCCCTGACCATTGACCATGTTGGCAGGGACTGCCCTAGAGGTCACCAAGTTGGCTCCCCCTGAGTTTAGACTAATGCTGAGGCTTGTGGCTGAATTCTATCATGGGTGCCATGTGAAGAGTTCTGTTAAGTGTTGAAACCTACAATCTACAACATATTTTGTAATAAAAATTGCAACATGGATTTCACAAAATGAGGCAAATGTGGGACAGTAGAACCAGAGGGGGAGAGAGCTGGCCCCGTGTGTATTTTGCATTTTGAAAGTTTGCAAAAGTTGAACATCTAGACAGGTGATTTCTAACTACCTATTAGACTAATGTACTACTATAATTTCCCAATAAGTCAGTGAGCACAAAACTCATTGTGTTTCAAAACCAAGATGGAACATAAGAGCAGTCCTGCTAGATTAGACCCCCAAAACCCATCCACTCCAACTCACAGAATGCTAAAGGACTTAACTGAGATTATTTCAAACATTGGAGATTGCCTCATCTTGGAATAGCAGGATGGGCTGTTGCTAAATTATTAAGAGAACTTTTATCTTGTGGAAGGATCCTAACTGCATTCTACCTTTGCAGGAGTGTGGTTTCCTAGTAGTATGCATCATAGTGTGCTCTAGGATGGGCGACCTCAGTTTTCCCATGGATCTGTTAACTTGATATTAATTGAAAGATCTTGGGTGCATCCTACCTACTAAACTAGTGTATGAAAGTTTGCTACCAGAGCTTTGTTCCTCAGTGCAGGAACTGAATAGCCTTTCAGCTCTGGAATATTATAGGCTAAGCTGATTGCTGGAATCTGGACGAGAACACCAGTTGCTACATTCAGCAGTAAATTAGATGCTGCATAGTTTGAACATTTTAGAAATTTACATTGATGTTGTTTCAGACTGGAATTGATGTAACGTGTGGTTGAATCTCATGAGTGGTTCCCCTCCGGTTGTAAAACAGCTACAACAGACTCCAGTTTTGATGTTTTGGGTGAGGGGATATTTAACCATATCCCTCCCACACAAACCCTGTTTTCCCACAAGTGATTATTAAAGCACTTTTATACTACCATTTTAGTATGTTTAGGGAAGTTTTTAAATGTTTGATGCTTTATTGTATTTTTAATATTTTGTTGGAAGCCGCCCAGAGTGGCTGGGGAAACCCAGCCAGATAGGCGGGGTATAAATAACAAATTATTATTATTATACCATTTATACTATTGGAATTCATGGCAGTGTATAACAAAATCAATGCACGATAGTTGAACTCATGAAAAACAGATGGAAACAGATGGGGAAAGAAAAGTAAGAAAGGGCAACCCAGTCAGACGAGTGGGGTACAAATAATCATTATAATTATAATTATAATAATTATACAGATACCAGTCTTTTTCCACAGTGTGTAAAAGCAGCAGGAGGTGTTTGATGGCAGGGGTCAGACTCTGGAGAGATCCAATCAGGAATCTCCCATGTCACATCTTAGCAATTTATAATTTGAATTTTTCAGACTAATTTTACTTGCTCAGCTTGTGAATGTTCATCTTTCCCAGTAGTCAGACATAGTTTATATAGCCTCCAGGCAAAAATATTTAGTTTTATGTATTCTATTTATAGTTTATGAGTATAACGGTGTAGAATGCACCTAATCCCCAGAAAAAGTAGTAAAATTGCTCACTTTTATTTCAACTTTTATAGACAATACCAGGACTTCCTAGAAGATCTAGAAGAAGATGAGGCTATTAGAAAAAATGTCAATATTTATAAAAGTAAGTTTCCTATGTGAAGTATTTACCTTTTTTGCCGTATTGTAATGCCCAGAAATATTGCCTGTCTACAGTGGTGTCTGGAATTCACAACCAATGGTGGCTACTCTTAAATTAGTTGTTTTCTAGTTAATATGTGTTCTGTCCACTGTTTCTGTCTATTGTCATGATCTAAGTATCTGGGGCTAAATGCTCCAAGCCAATTTAATAACATTTAGGGGGATGAGAAGCTACAGAAGTACACAATAACTGCCGGCATCTCTTCCTTTCCCAGAGTATGCATTAGACCAGCTTAGGACTGGTACTCATCATCATCTATCTCCCCAGGTTACATCAACTTAAGGAAGCTTTGTCTTGACCATGCCGCATGCCCTGGCATGCAGGAAAATGCTGTGCTCCTGCAAGCATACTTAATCACCTTCTGGAGGCACAGTTTGTCTGACATTAGTTGAGTATCTGATGAGCTGAAACTGGCAAACAGGATGAGGAAATTGACCGCCTGACCAAGCCCTTAGCAACTTAAGAGTACCTTGGAGGAGCAAATGAAATTAGGGTTCTCTCCCCAGGACCAGGATGCTGTAAGCTTTTAAGGACTTGGGCTCCTTTGAAGCTAAAAGGATGTGGGGCAGTAATTAGGGGCAGTCAGAAAGAACTTTGTCTCAACCTAATTATTCCCCGCTCCAAGGAAATCTTAAGCTGTGATGCAGGCAGCAACCCTAACAGCTTAATATATCCTTTAAAAATCAAAATAAGAGTAGGGGGTATAGTCTTGCTGATCCCAGGTCTCCCCACTCCTCTCCAAATCCTTTTGTACACCACAAGGAGGGGAAGAGAAATATATTCCCCTTTCCCCATTGTTCAGGATAAGGCTTAGATAAGCAGCTCACTTAGTCCCAGACTTCAGCAGTCTTGCATTATTTTGCTGATGGAGGGGACAGGGCCCCCCAAACATTTATTTTCTTTGTGGTCTTCCAGTTTGTTCCTTCTAGTGATGAAGTGTATTACCATCCAGAAACCTCTGCACACTTGGACATCCCTGATATGCAGAATTTATGTCTATGTTTGTTTGTTTTTTGAATAGAAAGGAATGCAAACTGTAGGAGACCAAGGGCTGTATACGTATAATGCCCTCATTCCACCATGTAACTAGCAACAGCAGGGCAGAGAATAGACACAAGCACTTGGTATGAATCCTAGGCGAAAGGGAAGCAAGTGGTCTGCTGCTTGCTCTCTTCAACCTTTTGGGGGAAGGATAATTAGTATTCTATTCCTAATTAATTATTCTGTTCCTAATTAATCTTGCACTATAATTATCCATCACTCAGGTTTAGACTACAAAACAGACATTAAAACTATTGTGGAGATGCAGGGAGAGAGCAAATATTTTGAAAAGAATTTCCATTGTTTTCTTAAAGAATGGCTAGCTATTTGACAGTTAGCTCAGTTGGTTAGATAAAGTGATTTTTATTTTATTTTATCTTTTGAGGTCTTATGTTGCTTTATGGTTTTATAGATGCAGTCATTCCTGTAGAAAGTGACACGGATGATGAGGGTATTCCCCGGATCAGCCTTGCTGAAATGTTGGAAGATCTTCAGATATCTCAAGATGCTACTGGCGGAGAAGGCGCTGATATGTTGACAGAATAAGCTAATAGGTCTTGTTAATGTGAATATTTTTCTTCCTTAAGGAAAACTAGTTATTACAGGAACCTATTATAGGCATTCATAGACTTGATGTACAAAGTTATAATCACAGTAAAATTTGAACAACAGTTCAACAATAAATCATGCTGGAAAGTATCATTAATGGCTAATAAATGCATTGGGATATCTACTAAACCTGAATGGCATTCAGACTGTGTGATTATGATTATTTTTACTTGTGTCTAAATTTGTATAGGTATGCAAATAGAAGGATAGTTCCAAAGCCGTGTCACTCACTGAATTTGTTTATGCTTTGGCAGTCTGTAATCTGCACCTGGGATCTCTGGTGTGTTTGTGTGTTGCAGGGCTGCTCCCAGTAATGTCAAAAACTGTTCTAATCTACTTTAAACTACCGTTTAGTTAGAAATACAAATCTTATATTCAGTTGCTATATGAAGCTGCAGAAAATGAAGAATGTGGAGGAGAGGAAAGTGGATGGAACTCATATTTCTGAAATACAGTCATCTAATAACTGTCTAGAATATAGGCCCTAGATTACAAGAGGCTTAATTTTAATTCCCTCTAGCATTATTGGCAGCTGATGCCCCATAGTGGAGATGTTACTGTGTGCTTTGAAAATTAGCCACATTCTATCTAGGGCTCAGGCTTTCTAAAAGTTAACTTTGCGTCAGTCCCGTTGAGGCAGGCTACTGTTTTTCTTGGAAGGGAAGGGAAGCTTAGGAGGTTGCATCTTTGTTCTGGAAATCCATCTCTACATGTCTGTCTCTTGCACAGGTGGAGGGAACTGATGTGCATGTGTAAAAGAATGACATGGACCCGTTTTCTTTATTCAACCAAACCTTGGGACTGGCGGAGTTCATGTAACTTGTAGTTGAAAATGTTTGTTTTAAACATTTGATCCCAGATCAAACATTAGATCAAAGTTATTATACAATCTTCCCTTGTGTTAAGAATAAAAATTGTGCCCCTATATAGTGCCTACTTCCTAGTACAGCATTATGATCATTCATTGAGATTCCTAAATTTGGGTGCAGGGTGGGTGATAGGCAAGAGCACAATATGGTGTAAGTACTTTTCATTAATAAGTCTTTGGTCACTTCCATTTTAAGCCCACCAGCATTGTCTGACTCTTTAAAAACCTCTGTCTGGAACTGCTTCATCACATGGTATACCCACGTAGTAAAGAAAACCGACACTGCTATAGGCCTGAAGTAATACTCATTTCATTAGAAACAACAACTCTTTTCTGGGTGAGCTGGTTCAGACAGTATGATGAGTAAAACTGTAGGCAGAGAAACAAAACCGTATTGCAACATTTCAATAAAAGCAGGTTGCTTCCACTTCTGAACTTCTCTCTGCCAGAGACTCTCCCTTGAACTCACGAAGCCCTGTTAAATCTTCTGCTTCCAACACCACCTCCGCCCAATCTTCTCCCTCCTGCTAGTCATCGTCTCACGAGTCCCTTGGCTCTGAGCCTTCTTCCCTTGGGGGCTGCCCAGCTGGTGCATCCCACTGGTCCTCTGTGTCCAGTGCATGACTTCTCTCATGAGTCTTGCCACTCATTTCCAGCTTATCATGTTTTGGCTTCAGTATAATAAAACACAACAGGATACAGTGGTACCTTGGGTTACATATGCTTCAGGTTACATACGTTTCACGTTACACACTCCGCTAACCCAGAAATAGTGCTTCAGGATAAGAACAGAAATCAGGCTGTGGCGGCAGCAGGAGGCCCCATTAGCTAAAGTGGTGCTTCAGGTTAAGAACAGTTTCAGGTTAAGAACGGACCTCCAGAATGAATTAAGTACTTAACCCGAGGTATCACTGTATAAGAAATAAAAGCAGCATCAAAAATACAAATAAAAATCATACAGCATCTAGCACACCACATGGCAATTACTACAACAGGCAGAAACATCGTTAAGTGGTTCTCCCAAGACCCTCAACAATTTGCAAGAGGTTCATAGGGAAAAGAAATTGAGGAATCTTTGATCTCGGAGGTACCTGTCAAGATGCAACCAATTCAAATAGGGGATGCTTTTCCATGAGGTAATCTCAACACAATTGGGAGAGGCTGTGTTGTAAATTATGCAACTTGTTGGGATGGTGCTGGTTTTTTGAGGGAGTTCCATGTCGTCAGCCCAAACACATTTATTTCAACCATTGTCTTTTCCCTGGCAAGGTTCCTGCTCTTTTAACACTTATTAATAAAGTGCATAAGATGTGGTTGCGCAAAGATTAAAGCACAACATGGGACCAGCCCATAGGTTTACCATTGAGAATAGTGATGAGACATGGGAAGGAAGAGGGGAAATAGGGAAAAATCAGCATGAACTAGGTTGGTTTTAAGATGCCTTTTGTAGCTGTGTGTCGGGCAGAAATTCCTTTCATGGACATGAAGTAATAGGATGACTTTGGCTGTTGCAATTTGCTCCTGCTGTGCACTTGTGAAAGCTACAGAAGACTTGTCAGCAAAAGAAAGGCAACCCTACTATTACAGAGTGTCATCTGTCAGGAATGTGTTATGCAATAAGAGCTGGCAATTGATCCATTAATGCTTTCATGTGAAGACAAATACAGGTATGGAAAGGCTTAATTGAGGCATGTTTCAAAACAAAACACTAGTAGGTTAGAGATAATCTTTTACCGATGAGAAGCATATGCTAGTGATTCTGGGCTGAAAAGAGATACATTTAATGACAGTGTGAAGAGAAAACTGAAATATGCATTTATTACTATCTCAGCAGTAGATTTTTTTCATTATACAGTAATAATATAATTAAACCTTGTGTACTCGTGTCTGTAAATAAATAACCAGCACCTTTGTCTTTAATAACAGCCACATCTGAGGAAAAACTTGTGCCTTAGCCTGTATAAGCTTGTTTTATGCTCTGAGAGTGATAGGTAGGTCCTGTTTTACAGCTGTTGGGAGTATACAAAATAAGTTATGAAAGTGACTATTACATCTACATTGATAAGACAGCATTCTCAGGCGTTGGAGAGTTTGCTTCAGAGTTTAGATATAATCCTTTGCTTCAGAGTTTAGATATAATCCTTTGCTTCAGAATTTAGATATAATCCAATAAAACGGTGTGGGTTTGCATAATAACACCTTGACACCATATAATGCGGCTGGATTAGTTCTCTTCTTGCATGTAACTGTCATAATTTCCCCACTAGCAAAGTGAGTGTCAGCTGTAAGCACTGAGAATGTGTACAACTCACCCCAAGGAGTTCAGAAACAAAAGCAGCAAGGTAACTAGGAGATAGCTGGAAGGAGAAGGCTGAAGAGGACTTTTTCAACTAGGACATAACTAAAGAAAAATCTCCAAACATGATGAATGCTAAGATACGGTTTTGTAATGCTAGGCATTATGTGGGTTGTGTTACACAATTCTAGGTTTGTCACTTGCACCTGTAGGAATTATGTCTCAAGTTCTTTCTTGAATATGGAAAGAAAATGGAACATTGCAAACCCCTTTGCTTTTGTTTTTAAATGTGTTTTTGAAAAGTTTTATTTCTGGGGGGAAAGGAGCCAAGACATGAACATTGAACCAGCTCTTCCTCTGTCCTTTTTATTGTTGCGCCATGGTTTGTTTTGGGCTACATATGAGTAAGGAGAGAGCTTAACCATGTGTCCCTGTTCAGCCGATAAGCTGAGCCAATGCTAAGGCTTAGCTCAGCAGGGCTCACCACTAGAAAGATGGGGTTTTCTGCTTTGCCACCAGCCCGTGGAAGAAGGGGAAAATCATGTAAAATATAAGAAATGTCCTTAATTTAAACAGCATGCAGGATTCAACAGTCTAGGTGACACCAGTCCATTTCCTGCAGTATCTTCTTTGCTCCCTTTGATTTCCCAATTCTAAAAATCATTTTTTTGTTATTAGTCTCTTGAGTTCAACCCCAGTCATCTAACCACTAGACCTTTGTGCGCAAGTGAAGGAAAATATTTCAGATACACAGAAAGGAGGCAGAATCATTTAGCTTCCATTTTGCACCTTTCAGGGGTCTCTAAGTCCCATCAGCCTTGTCAAGCTGCAGGAGTTTTTCCTGTTCTTACATGAGAGAGACACTGCATATTAGGACTCCAACCACCAACAGGCAGAAAGAAAGCTTGGAAGAAAACATAAGGTGCATTTCTCTGTTAGAGACATGGCACATTTCAGTTCCCTCATGATAGGGCTTCCCTGTGATAACAAAAACAAAACTGCGTTAAGAAAAATTGCACATTGGAGGCATTTTCTGAACATTTTCTACATGCAGGTGGTTAAGCCCCAACTTGCATCTTAACTGCTATCCTGCCATGACTGTTCTATTTTTATTACTTTCTGTGTGTACAGCTACTTTTAGAATTTGTATATATTCTCTCAGCCATCTTTTCAACACCCAAGTAACAGTTCAGTATTATGTTTCATCATAAAGAGGTGGGGTGTAGGGTGCTTAAGCACCCTACACAGCCAGATAAATCACTGTTAAGCTGCTGTTTGCCTGCTGATACTGAACTCCATAGCACCTGCTATGGCTTCAGAAGGCTTCAGAGTTAATGGGATGATGTGTAAGTGAGTTTCTGCTCACATCATATCCCCAATGCCAACCGTCTTCCTCCTATATGTGTTTATGATGCAAATTCTAGCAACTTAGCATCGGAGGAATGCCCTTATGGGGAAAGGTTGTGACATTTGGGGCTTTCTAGTATAGGGGAAAAGGCGTGGCAGGGAGGAACATGTACAAGATTATCCATGATGTGGAGGCAATGACAAAAGTATCATTCCCGCTGCCCCCCTCTTTCATATAACTACAGTGGTACCTTGGGTTAAAAACACCTTGGGTTACAAACACTTCGGGTTACAGACTCGGCTAACCCGGAAGTAGTACCTCGGGTTAAGAACTTTACCTCAGGATGAGAACAGAAATTGCATGCCAGTGGCGCAGTGGCAGCAGGAGGCCCCATTGGCTAAAGTGGTACCTCAGGTTAAGAACAGTTTCAGGTTAAGAATGGACCTCCGGAACGAATTGAGTTCGTAACCAAAGGTACCACTGTACAATCTGGGACCATCCAACGAAGCAGAAAGATTTGGGATAGACCCAAAAAGAGCGCTTCTTCACGCAGCACACAGTTAAACTGTGGAATTTTCTCCCACAAGTTATAGCGATGTCTTAAAAGACGAGGCAAGTGTATGGAAGA